CCCTAACAATTTTATACTTCGCATGAGTCTCCTTGTAATTATAAATACAGAGAGGTAATATTGTTTTTGATCGAAAAACAGATATTTTTAACCAAATATACGAAAATTTTATCAACCTATCAAATATCGAAAATTTACAAATTCTATAAAACACGTTTAAACAGTGCTCCACCTGATTATACAAAAGTTTCATATCGTCTAATGAGTTACCTAATGCAGGCCGATGTAATCATAGCTGGTCTGGTAGTATGGCATGTACGACAAATTCGATTCTTGAGATCCTCCTAATTACTGAAGGCATTTGGTATACAATTTTTTTTGACAACCCTGTAGAAAATCCAGTGAAATCTTGTCAAGAAAACGGGCTGGCCAAAGCACTGGACCCCTGTGGAGTAGTTGTTTTCTGATAGGCGTCAGTCCATTCAACCTACTGTGTAGATATATCCGAGACGGGCTTGGACATTTGAAGTTCATTTCTTTGAATTTAGATATCATGGAATTTTTTTATCAGTTTGAAATACCTCTGGGTGGCTTCTCGGGGTGGAGTGCATCCGAAACGTCCAATGACGTTCCATGACTCTGGCGCATAAATCGGACTGTATTTGACCGATGGCATGGGTTATGTTGGCATTGAGGGCCGCTGTGGTTTGTCGCTCATTCGCATGCTCCTGCGATTTGAGAAAACCCCACAAGAAAAACTGTAACGGCTCAAATCGCACGATCTCGGTGGCCAGTTCACATCACCTTCACGTGAGATGAATATGTCCTCAAATCGCTTGTGCAGAATATCCAATGTGACATGAGCTGTGTGGCACGTAGCGCCGTCCTGTTGAAACCACATGTCGTTGGTGTCCAGATCAATCAATTTAGGCCAAAAAAAGTTGATAATCATCGACCGGTGCTCGGCATTGACAGTGATGGCCTGGCCAACGTCGTTCTCAAATAAATATGAACCACACCAAACAGTGACTTTTTCGAGATGCATTGAGCGCTCTTGAACCTCATGTAGATTGTTATCGTCCCAAATTCGACAATTTTGCCCCATTAATCCAGAAATGGGTCCTATCGCTGAAATTGATTTTTCGATGAAAATTAGGGTCAGTTGCCAACTGCTCCAGAGCCCATTCAGCGAACACACGCCAATTCGACTGCACAATCTCACAGACAGCGGCGATGTTTCAGGCAGATCTTGCGTTTCGTCAACGTACGGGTATTGGTCGATCGTTTACTGAAATGTATCCACCGCATTGCGAATAGTCCTGTCGGTAGGACGATTATGGCGACCGTAAAATGGGAGAAACGCGCGATACGTTGCCCGAACAGAACACCCATTTTGATAAAACGATTTTATTATTTGCACGTGTTGTTGAATGCTATATTCGTCCATGGTGATTTAGCAAAACAGACTGAATAAACTACAACTTCAACAAGATTGTTGTTATCAATTGTAAAATTTCGGAAGCCCCTGTTGAAAGATCCTATATAATGAACTGACATCTTTCGATACCGCCTTTGTTTCATTATTTTTCAAACTTCAAAAATAAAGAGGTTATCGCATGTTAGCTAAATTCTGGAACACTCTATATAACAAGTCCCCGAAATTTATTACTAGCAAAAATATTTGAAGCGCAAGCTAAAGAATTTGAAACATGAACTAACATCGTTCAGAGGATAAAACGTTCTCCTTAAGTTACTATATAAAGTTTTCGTTCATAACCATTGACAACAACTAATTGAGTTTCTATTGTGAAGGTATGAAGATAACCAACGAAGTTGATCACCTTGTATACGAAATACAGATACAATTAAAATATTTTATTCGCCTTCATCGAAAGCTTTACTGAAATCAGTACACACGGAATCAACTTTAGAGAGAACAACATAATCGTTAAAAATTATGTGTTTTTGTATGAACTTTTAAAATGACGGGTAAATCAGCTTCACATTCTAATTCTCGTATATATTTGTTGAACCCTGCTAATCGATATAGGAAACGTCTGCAGTGTCAGTACAATATAGGTCATCCCCTATAACACGATGGACCCGGGGACTGAAATTCTGGTTCACATAAATTACGATACGAATTGTTGAATCGCTGGCGTCGCCATCGAAAGTATCCCAGAAGTGGGTCACGACTGTATATAGTATGATTACGATTCACAGTATCACGACTTGCGAATATTTTGCAAAGTTGTCTTTATTACAGATTTAGAATATATACCCGTCCAAACGTCACTGATTTACGTGTGCAATATATGTTAACTCGATACACTCAGTCATTTTGGATTCAACACACTGGAACTATAACAATCTTTCGGCTAGCCTTCCACCAACCAAATAGGCGTCATCAGGAAGTACTGTATGGCGAAATGTCCTTCGAAAAGAGTGTATTTGGAAGATGTATTTGTGTTAAAATTCTACTCTACAGTTTCATTTTGATATCATAATTCATGTCAGAAAAAATTATCTTGGTTGTTCATTTTCGGCAAAAAATTCCTTTTGTCGTTATTTTTTTCTTTTTTTGTAGGGAAACCTATTATGAAGATTGCTGATAAAAGGTCCAACAAATGAGGACCACATTCATTTTTTAATTAGGATCAAAATAATGCCGCATCAGCAATATCTGAATAGTGTATTGGAACCGAGCACGGCTTATTTTCAACTAGCGGCCCGCCCCGGCTCCGCACGGGTGCAATACTTATACTAAATATACATATAAGCGTGTGATCGCTGCCAATCATGAAGTGCGGAGCGCGGCCTTAACGCGCTATTTATAGGAATGCGCCGCCGGACCCCCTGCCGGTACCGCCGCAACCGCTATGTCCTTGCATATCAAATCTGTAATTTCTCCGAAAATATTCATTCAAATTACTTGCTGTAATAGGCCATATTGATCTATATTAAATGCACAATGTATTTGAAGTACTTAATTGGATAAGTATTAATGCTGTATTGCTTAAAGTCGCTTTGTAAGTAGGCAATTATTTCTCGAGGATAAAAAATGGTTATTGTGGGTTATCTCTAAGAGAAACAACATATAACAGACATATACCATCGCGGACTTTTTTGTAGACCTTTTTAAGGTGTACAATACTGTAGTCAATTTTTTTTTTATCTATCTCGTAGTTTTCTTCTTGAAGATGATCACTTGGTGATCGAAACACGTGTCGAGGTGTCAAAATAACATTTTGGTGTTAGGAGAAAAAAGTCGAGTAATATTCATTACTACACCAAAGTTTCCCAACAGTGCATCACAAGTACTACCTGGTAGGGTTCAGCCAGCGTAAAAAATTTGTTTATTTTCATCACATTAGAAACCTCTAAAATTATCAGGTGGTATGCATGTTATATACATATAAACCTTCCTGTTGAATCACTTTATCTTTAATAAAAAACCGCATCAAGTTTTGAAGATCTAAGAATACATAGGGACAGACAGTGGGAAGCGACTTTGTTTTATACTATGTAGTTTTAAAAAATCTGATTAAAATCTGTTTTTTCGTTCACCAGCTGTCGCACCCCTACAAACGACAACTCTCAAAAGTCGAAACTTGTTTGAGCTAAGGACTAACGAAGTCTTACCTTTTAACGTGTGATTCCTAACACGGGTTGAACGATAGCAAGTGAAAATCAATCGTTCAGTGTGGGGCTTGAACCAGCAGCAACCAACACGGCGGTCGATTTAAGTGAGTGAACAAAGCACCCACGTCGAACCGACCGGCTACCGTCCGGATAATATATTTTCTAAAAAAGAAGGAGAACTTTTTCCATTTTCGGGTATTCATCTTGTGAGAAATACAATCTTGCCAAACGAGTATAATCGTATTGAAGGCTGATATAGAATTATGAATCGAAAATTGATTTTTGTCAGTGGGTGAAACAGTTGTTCAAAGTCGTAAATATATTATTTTGGGATGGAGGTAATATAATACCATAATAACACCATTAAAAAATCATTACAAGAAGTAGTTGTTTTCGAAAAATTGAGTTGTTACTTTACTGACATCAGTAATTCTCATGAATCATTGTTTTCACTATATTTCAACTCCAAGTATAATGTAAACGTCAAACTGCAAAAAATAGCAATCCAACAAAATGTTCATCCTCCTAATATTTCAAGATAACAAATATTGCCAACCATTATATTAGCATACAAAATCTTTTTTTTTCAATGATAATCCTTCTCATTACATTTAGTTCCAACAAGAATTTGGTAACCAACTTTTCGTCACCATTTCTTTTGATTGTCATGAATTCTGACTCGAAGATATTGAACTTTTTCTCGCTATACTTTTTTGTATATAATTTTCCACAACCGGTAAGAAATATCGAATCCTCCACAGAAAAATATCTTTCAATAATATATTGAACTTTTTGTAAAACAAAATTTTGAATTTTTTTTCATATGTTGTAGTAAATGAAGGATGGAATGGATTGGTTGTAGGGAACGCTCTGAATAGGTAGAAGGATAAATTTTAACATTCTGTTTTTCATGCGCTTTGCTTTTGATGCTTTCATGAGTTAACCGTTTTATACTTATAGAACATGTACATTTCATGTATCTTCGTCTTTTTTTGGCAGTGAAATTGAATGAAGATAGAAAATTAATCATTTCTACCAAAACAAAGCTATCAACGTAAATTTTTTAAGGTTAGGTTATCCATATACAATTGTACAATTTCGTGTTTGGTTGGTATTTAAAATTATATCGGAGCAACACAGTACAAGGCTACAAGTCATATTACCCTTCCGTCTTCTCAGCATTGGCTGCTGTATTGATGATTACCATTTTTCTCATTTTTAAAAACCAATCGTGTCGTTTGTTTGAAGTGAATGAAAGTTTGGACTTCTGTTGTCTTCCGTTTGGAAGATGTTGCACAGATATGCAAGATATGCATTACACTTGCAGGTGTAATGTATATCTTGAAAATATTCAAGAGTATTACATTTCTCATGAATATGTGGTTGCTATTAGATTTAATTTTAATTTTTCTTTTCAGAATAAACTCATTCTCTATTTGGAACGATTCAGTCAAATCGCCGATAACTCAGTCAACTGTGGGCCAGTCTTAAACTGGCTTCAAATGGATAACAAAGGTCATAGGTTGCTAGTACCGAGTGAAGAGAGCAGATCGATCAATACTCCTGCCGTCGCTGCAGCCTACAGCGTCCGACGATACGTCTCGCAGGTGAGTACGAGCCCCAAAAGGGGTCCTTGTGGAAAATGTGATATTTTGAACTAAAAAGGTAGTCACTTTCATAAATGATTTTTGTAAGGATTATGTTATGACTCAGTTTTATTGATTAATTGAATGTACATACGAGATGCTCTACTAATTTCCTCTGTGACCTTCAATTTGTTTTTTAAGTATTTTTGGTCAGTTTAATAAACAAATTACATTTCAGAGTAATGGTGATATAATTAACATGAATGTCATAACAGTGACAACACAGCTATAATGATGAACAGACAAGACCAATCCGCATCCTCGTGCGAGTGATGGGCATTAAATTATTTATAATTTTCTTTTATAACCCAAAATATGTAATTTCAAAAGTTCACCTGAGAAAAAGAAGTATATATAAAATTTGAAGTTATGGATCAACGATCGATTACGAAATATTCAACAACTGCGTAACATTGTTTACTAAAGAAGCTCATAATTTGATTTCAAATGTTTTTGTGTGCTTTTATATTGTCTTGACATTGGCGTTTATGATATTATCTTTTTTTTTGCTGATTCATCATCAGAGCTTTCAATAGGACTATCAGATATAAATTCATCTATTATTTTAGTAAAGATCAATAAAACGACTTTCCTAACGCAATATAAAATTTCAATTATCCACTTTTTCTCACTTTCCTAGGCTCGAGATGAATTGAACTTAGAAGTGGGAGACATGATTTCCGTTATCGACATGGCCAGTCCTGGGGAGTCTATGTGGTGGAGAGGTAAACGGGGTTTCCAGGTTGGATTTTTTCCACAGCACTGTGTTCATATCATCGGTGATAAGGTGCCCCGAAATATGCCACTACCTCCTCCTGTTGTAGGGTAAGTACAAAATCTTGTGCATGCTTGAAAATATGAAATTCAGCAGATTCAGAAATGTTCAACCAAAAACTATGAAAGGCAGTTTATTTCTATGATTCAAATGTTCCTATTTAAAGTTTCATCAAATTATAAAAGTATTGCATAAATGAGGAAGCCAATATTTTGAATGAAATTGAAACTAATAATTGCTCATAACTATCTCTTTGACTATTGCCACAACAACGAAGTATTACCTACAAAGGTAGTTTGATGCCAAGAATTTGTAAATTTCTACTCTGAAGGATTATCAATTATTTATCTTAGTTTACTGTTACGAACTGTCACCATCATTAGTATTACATCTATGCATAGGTTCTTAATAATGAATAAGCGTTGATCTTACTCAAACTTTATAATTTCAATTTACTTTACTGAACTTCAATTACATTTTGGTCGGTAGCCGGTCGGTTCGACGTGGGTGCTTTGTACACTCACTCGAATTGACTGCCGTGTTGGTCGGTGGTTCAAGCCCCAGGCTGAACGCTCGATTTTCACTTGTTATCGTCCAACCCGTGTAGGAATCATACGTTAAAGGATAAGACCTCGTTAATCCTTAGCTCGCACAAGTTTTGACTTCTGAGAATTGTCGTTCGTAGGGGTGCGACAGCTGGTTAACGGAAAAACATTTCAAACAGAATTACACATTTTTTATTACACTTCGCTCTACACTGATCCGACAACTTATTAAAATGTTCTTGCGCATATATATCTATACTGATATCATAAATGTGAAAGTTTGTGAAGATGGATAAATGTATTTACGTATGTACATACAGGCCCTTTCACGCCTATATGACTGAACGGATTTAGATGAAACTTTACATAAATACAGATTATACATCAGAATAACATACAGGCTACAATTTACAAAAATTTTGTCTTAGGTAAGTCGGAAAAAGTCTTAGGTAAGTCGGAAAAATTCTTGCTCCCTGGGAGCTATCTTGGCGTGCGCAGCCTTTTCGGTTGGAGTTACATAAAGATTTTGTACTGTAAGATTGTTTATCTCAAATAGTTCTAAATAAAAGTACACGATAGCATGTATCTACCTCTTATGTGGTAGTCACTGAATGCAAAATACTGAGACATTAATACAATTAAATTGGATACTTTTTTTACACGTTTTATATTAGCTTCACCTGTATGTATGTATGTTTGTTTGTAACTTTCCTTTTCATTTCATATCGGGATCTGTATTTGACAGAATTATCGACATTATTGCTTGATCTATTCGCGGGCAGATGGCGCTGTACGTAACCTCCTTGATATAATTCGAACTCACTTAACATGTATTTCTTCATTTGTAGTGTCAGTTAATCAACAGGTACCCACTTTACAATACTGGCTGTTCCCCGCTGTTTTACCAGCCTTACCGTGGGAACCTAACCTATGTGTTATTCCAGGTCATGATCTATCTATATACGTTGTGGTTGTGGAATTGGCCGCGGTGGTAGTGCGCCCGACTCACGATCGGAAGATCGTGGGTTCGATTCCTGCCGCGACCAGATATTTTTCTCGAGAGAATTTATGTGGTTGAAGCTGGGATGATTCTGCAACCGTGTTAGGAATCACACGTTAAAAGGTAAGACCTCGTAAGTCTTTAGCTCGCACAAGTTTCTCAACTTCTGAGAGTTGTTGTTCATATGGGGGCGACAGCTGATTAACGGAAAAACAGATTTTAAACAGATTTTTTTTAAACGTACCTACACTTATATCCGTTCAGCTGATTAGGCGTCAAAAAGTAAAAAACATAAATACATACATTACAATGATCCATCCTCACAAACTGTATCCATTTATAATATTAGTGGGAGTAGGATTATTTATAAGTTGATTGACTGGCAATATTTGAAAAAAAATTTGAGAGGGGCACTAGAGGGTAATAATGCTGTCTTTGTATGATCCGCCCTTCACTAATGAGGAATTAATACTCTAAACCAATATCTGCTTTTTTGTTGAAGTTGACTGAATTTTTATTCCTTAATACTAAAAACATGTGCATGGATGGCCTTTATAAAAAACATTGGACAAGTGACTGTAGGATGCAATACAGAATCCATCATGATATTAGGCAAAGAAATAGTTCTTTCTCAACAGATATTTATCAACTCTGTCGAATAGTTGAGAGATATCAATATTTTGAATTTCATTACAAATACTGGTCTTCCAAATGTTCTTGTTTTTCCAGACAGTATTCAGTATTTTCTATCCAAACATAAAAGAAGTATGTAGTACCTTTTGAAATATTGAAGTTCGTAAATGAATCTTAATTTTAATTTTGTACTTCTATATTAGACAAAAGAATGAAGCTTAATTTTATGACGATTGCATATATTGTTTGACAAAAAACTTCCTAATTTATATTTAGGTTAAAGCTTTCCCAAGTTGAACACATCATCTTTGAAAATCTTTGGTACATCTTCCATGACTACCTATAACGTTCTTGTCTCTTTTTATGTAGAGTTTTCATGCTACATAAGTTCATTAATGGATCTAAAAAGTTCTGTGTTATGAAATTGTGTGATGTTTATTTGGTTATATACTCGTTCAGGTAGAGGTTAACCCACCCTGAACTTTACTGAAAAATATTTTGAAAGGCGTAACCAGGGTTTCTAATAATTCACTTCATGTTGTTTTGATCAGGTATTATCTCAGAATTTTGTTACATTCTGAATTTCAGTTATATGTCATTATATCACCATAAATTTCTCCTTGCGTCTTGCTCTTACATCAACAAGCTATGAACCATTCAAAGTTAATACCTTTTCAATTTCTGGAAAAACAGTTCAGTTCATTAGCCAGTTTGAAAACTACATAGATTTTTTTCCTTTGTTCGAAAGGTAAGTGGTTCTGCTCTTGGAATGAAAACAGAGAGACACATTCTTCAGAATGTTTCAAAAATTATACTTTTTTGTTAAGTAACTAGGAGTATAACTCATAAGATAAAAATTTCTTCGGCTTCGTTCTGTTGTAGGGTAAGTACAAAATCTTGTGCATGCTTGAAAATATNATTTAGGTAGCAGTGGAATTATCAAGAATTATCACCCAAAACTTCAAAGTATACATAATATTACTTTGTGTTGTGTTTCTAAGTACAATACCTGTTCGAATTCTATTTGAATTTTTGGAATACAAACTGAATGAGAAAAAGTGATTCCAATGTTCATAAATCAGAAAGTTGTTGTTTTGGATGTTTTTTTTTTCAGTTTATGTCTGAAAGAAACTTATGTGTACGATCCACACATTTGTATAGAGTTTTTATTAATTAATTCAATTGTTTCTTCCTTTATTCTGAAGTTTCCCACTTTCTATATAGTGATGTAGAAGTAAAATGCCAAAAGGTTTTTTCCCAAAAATGAATATCTCCCAAATAAAATCATCCTTTTCAAATCATTGTAGATTGTGTTAATGATGAATTCAAACTCATTTGATGGAAGTCATTGTTGTAGTTCATTTCAAGTTCTAAATGAAAGTGGAATAATAGAAAAAGTTAAAAATGACATTTTCCTTCTGCTTCATATAACATTAAAAAAAAAGATTTACTTCAAATAATGTATTCTTCATGTTGTGATGAACTTGATTTTATTTTCAACACTGAACAAAGTGGACAGAACTCGTGTCACTAAGTTGTAGTCCATTTAGACTGTTCATAAACAGATAAAATTCAACTAAGTTTTCTACCAAAAAGGGTATAAGTTTAGGTAAATACAGTATATTAAAGAATGTTTTTTTCTCTTCTTAAAAAAGGTATATCGAAAATTTTCAGAAGTATTAGCTGCTTTTAGACTTGGTAAAGATAATATTTCCAAATAAGAAACCAATTACAGATACTTTACTGAAATGAATCTTTGTGATAGAAAAATCTAACTTCAATGAAGCATGAAGATGATGAGAGCTATGAACGGTGTATAACATTAACAATGCGCTATCTCGTTTTGTAGGTCGTTAGCATTAACCCCGATTAAACCCGTGTTGAGGAAACACGGCAAATTGATCACGTTCTTTAGGAGTTTTATTTTGAACAGGCCATCTCGAAGAAGGCTCAAGCAATCGGGAATATTGAAGGAGAGGGTATTCGGATGCGACCTAGGAGAACATCTCTTGAACTCCGGCAACGATATTCCGATGGTACTCAAGTGTTGTGCGGAGTTTATTGAGACAAATGGTATCGTTGATGGGATTTACAGGTAAAGTTGACAAAATATCAGAGTGTCTCCCATGTAGGAATAGGAACTAACATTTGTAGTATTGTGATCTTTACTATATGAATTAATGTACTTATCAGTAATTATAAATAATTCTTGGTCACAGATTGTCTGGAGTTACGTCTAATATTTCGAAGTTGAGGAATGCATTTGATGAGGACAGGATACCAAATTTATATACAGAGGATATTTTACAGGACATTCACTCTGTTGCTTCGCTCTTGAAGATGTATTTCAGGTATGTGAAATTTAGTTTTTGTCCTTATGTAATTTTCAATACATACAGCTGTAGAAAGAGACAAGAAAGTGAATATATTCTGTTCAAGATTTGTGAAAAAATGTTTCACTCGAAGGGAATTACAATTCGATGAATTATTTTGATTTTGTTTCCATTTTGATATAAATGAAACTTTCAAGCATCCAAATATGAGATAGCTGCAGAATACTTTNGATAAATAAACCAAGTACCTATGCAGAACAACGAACAGTGAGTTGTCAATCGATATTTCTGTATCCAGCAACTGAAACAGAAATAAAAAATATTATAGGTCAGGAATTGAAAGCTAATAAAGCCCCCGGATTTGATGGGATAACTTCTGAAACGCTGAAAAAAATAGTCCATTATATAAGTTACCCTCTAACAGCGATAATAAATAGTGTACTAGAAACAGGACATTTTCCAACCGCCTTCAAAAATAGCATTGTTACACCTGTTTTCAAGACTGGAGATAAACATACTGTAGCGAACTACAGACCGATATCCTTGATATCAAGTCTAGCTAAAGTTCTAGAAAAAGTAATAAAGGTCAGAGTCAATACATTCCTTGAAAAAAATAAATTACTCTCTAACTCTCAATTCGGATTTAGGGAACATAAATCTACTCAAGATGCGATACTAACGAATGTACTTGATTTAAATCAGAAAGGATTACTATCGGACATAGCACTCAAAAAATGGGGCAAACCATATAAATTTTTTCGTTTCAAATTAATACTCTATACAGAGTTCAGCCTCTGCATTTTATTTAACCACGTTTACAAATATAGTAACAGTTAACCATGTTCGTTAAAACAGACTTCAGTATAACTCGAACTCTTTTTTCACATTACCTTTCAAAGGTTAACAAATAATGCAAATAAGAAGTGAAAAAATATATTGAACAGTTGCATCTGTAATAAAATCAGTCTTTTTTACATAATTACATTTAGTAATTTCCTCAGGTAACCTTCTGTTATTGCAGGGGTTGAAAAATGTGTTCCAAAGTACAAATTTACAATATTTAACGATTATAAGTGTTCCTGTGATTCTGTCTTGACAATTGTTTGACATCCTAGTTTTTGTTAGTTTTCTCGTTAGGAGCCTCAGTAGTACTTGTTGCTGGTACTTGCTCGATGCATCTAGCATTCACAGGCCAATCACAACTAAGTACCTTTGGATTAAATTGCAGCATACCTGGACAATACATGAGATATTTTTCACCATTGGAGCACTTGTAAAAAGCATTACACCACTTTTCATGAGCTAACAGAGTAGATTCCTCATAGGGATCTGATTTATGTGGACATTTGTTTGGAAAATTAGGAACAACCAAGTCCATATAAGTCACTATTGCTTCTGAATTACTTTCAGCAGATCTGATTGGTTTTATTCCATCCCATTCATTCTCAGTATTTGTTGGTTCATTAAAACTATAAAATCTTTCCTCTTCTTCATCTCGACTAATTTCTTGAGAAGCACAAGCTACATTGTAACTGTCATCACAGTTTTCTAGTTGAGGGTTAAATAGTTTTCTGTTGGGACACGTCTTCAATACTTTGATTCCGTAAACACACCTGTAATACAGTTTGCAATTTGTTTCATGGGGGAGATTCTTATCTTCGTCCCAGCATTGTTTTGGAGCTTTCGCTTCTGAAAAATAAAGAAAGCCTGTTGAGGTAATTTTGTTCACTATTTTTAAAATTTTAATTATTATATTGACGACAACATTCCATAGATAAATAGATCGATGGATAGATAGTAATTTATTTTCAAGGGGCATTAAATACCCAACTACAAGAAATGATAAATTCTAGTATAATAAGCATGCAACTTAGAAAAATAATTAATAATTGATTATTATTAACTGAATTACAAATATGCGAAATAACGGTTTATAAAAGAAAGAAAGTACATGAAAAATAAAAGAATACCAAGTCCTGTTTATGTGATAATTGTTATTAATATTATACTCTTGAAATTATGAATATAAATTCGAAAATAGGCCAAGAGGTTACTAACTGATATTGATGGTTTTGTTAACATTTATTTATCAATTAACACTTTCCAAACAGAGCAAACTCTGAAATAAAGAAATGCAATATTGTTAAAATAACTATAAAAAAGTAATATCATTTATTTTTAACAGTTGATTATGTTTTGATTATAGAACTATAAACTATATTTTATTTTTCCTTAGTTTATTTTTTGGCTTTGTCTTTGTATAATTTTAAAAATGTGTTCAGTGATTAGCTGAAAATAACTTTATTCATTGATATGTAAATGAAATATTTTGGTTTTTCACTGCATATTGTCATGAAATTGTAATTGTAAACTAGGATTCGAGTATTTCTGCTTAAAAAATCTATTTGTTCAATTGCACCTATTGAATGTAACTTCTAATACAAAAGTTTCAATAGTAAGCAGTATCAAGAAACATTCATTTCTGGAAAATATGATTAGCAAAAGTTAATATTTACTTATATGCAAATTGATGACCTTATCTGACTGAACAACTGAATTTTCATAGTCAGTATAAATAATTGAATCAGATATCTATTTGTTGATGATTTTTTTATGCATATACATAATACGTTTTGTTCAACTTGCAAGGAGTAAAAGGAATTAATGTATGTTCTAAAATGCTTACCTGAAATAAAGCTGTTGTTCATAAGTGTACCAACAAAAATCAGGTAAATCATTGAATTCATGTTTATAAAATCACTGTTTTATGATATAATGATAATTTCAATCGTACCCAATTCTAACTAGGTCACTTTACAATCAAATGTAAGTCTACCAAGTAAAAACTAAGTGCCGTTGTGATGTGCTGCCTAATAACTGATTATCTGAAATTCTGTCTTATTTTATACTTTTATCATTTCCAATCACGTGTTTTTATTGCACCATTCAACAACAGTAAAATAAAATTCCTTTTTTTTTCACTGTTCAACAATGAGAATTCATTTTTTGAGTGAAATTAGATAAAAAGTACGTTCAAATATCGTTACTCCAGTGAAATACTTTTTATAAAAAATATTACATGAGATGCAAACTAACTTGCAGTCATACTAGCCATAGCATGTTGAAATGTAACGCACCCCGTCTTTCCATAGCTCACAAAAGTCTCTAAAAAACTTTTGAATATACTTGCAAGGGTTACTTGATGGCTGTTACATGGCTTGATACAGTTAAAATGATTTTGGAAAACAAGTCATGGATAGAAATTTGTGTTTTGTAGTGCAATCATGGGGAAAATGGTAAGGGTTTTCAGGTTATATAGGGTCTTTCACTAAGCGCTTCCTTTTTCAAATTTAAATAAAATAAAGTATGTGTGAGATATCATCGAAATTTTTTATTCGTTTGAAAGACCTATTTTTGTCATTATGTGTGGAATACAACATTGCTCAAATATCCGCCACGGCTTTTGTGGCGCATAAATCAGGCTGAATTTGACCGATGGCATGGATTATGTTGGATTTGAGGACCGCTATGGTTTGTGGCTTATTTACATACACCCGCAACTTCAGTAAACCCCACAAGAAAAAAGTCTAACGGTGACAAATCGCACATGAGATGAATATGCCCTCAAATTGCTCGTGCAGAATATCCAATGTTGCATGAGCTGTGTGGCACGTGGCGCCGTCCTGTTGGGACCGCATGTTGTTGGTATCCAGATTATCCAATTCAGGCCAAAAGAAGTTGGTAATCATCGACCTAAGAGTATAGTGCTCGCCATTGACAGTGATGGCCTGGTCAATATCGTTCTCGAATAAATATGTACCGAACGCCGTCAGCCCAAAATCCACACCAAACAGTGACTTTTTCGGGATGTATTGGACGCTCTTTGGATCTCATGTGGATTGGTATCATCCCAAATTCGACAATTTTGTTTGTTAACCTACCCATTTATGCAGTAATGGGCCTCACCGCTGAAGATGATTTTTCTATGAAAATTAGGGTCAGGTGTCAACTGCTCCAGAGTCCATTCAGCGAACACACATCGTTGTCTATGGTCATTTACCTTCAGTTCCTGCGTCAGTTGAATTTTGTACGGGTGCAGGCCAAGGTCAAGTTCTTGTGAGCAACGCGAAATCGACTGCCTCGGATACTCCTGCACACTCTCACAGACAGTGGCGATATTTAGGCAAATCTTGCGTTTCGTCGACGTACGGATGTCGGTCGATCGTTTACTGAATTGGTGGACTCAAATGTATCCACCACATTGCGAATAGTACTCTGGGTAAGACATTATGGCGATCCTAAAATGGGTGAAGCGCGCGATACGTTGCCCGAACAGAAAACCCATTTCGATAAAACAATTTTATTATTTGCAAATGTTGTTGAATGCTTTATAAGTCCATGGTGATTTGGCAAAACAGACTGAATAATTGACAACTAATTTGATAGATGAAGCTTCTACAAGATGGCTGTTGTCATTTGTCAAAGTTCGGAAGTCCCTGTTGGAAGACCCTATACAAAAGAGGAGTCAATATGAAAAGTGTTCAATTTCATTTCTTTTGCATTTCTGATTGATTCGGCCGTTACTTGATGAAGATCCATAGTAACTTCAAAAACTTCACCTGGCGATTTAATCTCCACAAACTTTATTTGAAAAATATATCACAACATGTTTCGCTAAAACATGTTGTGATATTGATTGACAGGTACATAAGATAGCAGATCTAAATAAAATTTATTTCAAACATACCAAAGTTTATTCAATTACCTCCTTGACCAGATAATTTTCTCGAAAGAATTTATCTGGTTGAAGCTGGGATGATTCTGCAACCGTGTTAGAAATAACACGTTAAAAGGTAAGACCTCGTTAGTCCTTAGCTCGCACAAGTTTCTCAACTGAGAGTTGTCGTTCGTATGGGGGCGACAGCTGATTAACGAAAAAACAGATTTTAAACAGATTTTTTTTAAACAGATATATTTTTCAAATAAAGTTTATCGAGATCAAATCGTCAGCTGTAGTTTTTGAAAGATCATTGATAGCTTGCTAGCAACTAATTCTTTCTATATCGATTCCATAATGTCTATCAAATAAGATGAAATTTATGGAAAAGTAATGTAAACACAATGTTTATAACTTGTTCGATTGATGACCTATTTATTTAGTAGAAATTTATATTGAATATATGATGAAGAAAATAACTTTTGTCTGATTTCTACTAAGTTCTTCGTTTGTTACGGTTTGTTAAACCATTCTCAATTCACTTGAGAATGGTTTATCAAACTGAAACCGATCGAAACAAACAAAAAACTTTGTAAAAACCAGAAAAAAGTTAATTCCTTTATCCCTATATACAATATTTATAAACATTTTGTTTGTAAATTTTCTCTGATGAATAAAATGAAATTATTGGAAGAAATTTCATTGACATATCATTTAAAGGTAAAAATACTGCAGTTTTTTACAATCTTTCATTACTGAACAAGTCATTTTCAAAAAAAAAAGTTATAGCTTTCAAAATGATAACCAATCATAGAGCAAGTGTTTACATTGCTTTTCCATTAATTTCATCTTATTTGATAGAAAAAATTCATGAATACGAAAAGTTACTAACTAACTAACCTAACCCTGTTAGGAATAACACGTTAAAAGGTAAGACCTCGTTAGTCCTTAGCTCGCACAAGTTTCTCAACTTCTGAGAGTTGTCGTTCGTGTGGGGGCGACAGGTGATTCACGGAAAAACATGTTGAAAGGTAAGACCTTGTTAGTCCTTAGCTCGCACAAGTTTCTCAACTTCTGAGAGTTGTCGTTTGTATGGGGGCGACAGGTGATTCACGGAAAAACAGATTTTTTTAAGCAGTTAAACTTTTTGTTGTAAGGTACTAACTTTTTGGAATGAATTTCAGTTTGAGCAGGTCTTCTGTTGATCTGAATTTATTTTTTGATTATGAAACGTTCAAAACCCAAAAAAACTCAATATGCTTTTCGAACTTGGAGGCAATAGTGAATAAACCACAGTGTATATTGTTACTGACCTAGATACAGTCTACAAATAATACAGAAATAGTGTCTTATCACATTTCAAAAGCTTAGAGAGGAAAGTTTCGATATTAATGAAGATTCAAAAAATTATGCAGAACTTACCTTGATAGTAAAAGTCATTTTGCATGTAAAATATGTTGATAAACGCTGATTGTTGGAGAAGTTGCGGAATTCCGATGATTAAATATGATGAACTGAGATTTAGATGGGTTTGTCTGGAGCCTACATTCAATGAACCAATTATTTTTTGTTGTTGCAAGATATTCCAAATTGTTAGTCAGTTTGTCTTGTGTAATATTTCCTTGTTGGTGATAGTAAATATCAGAGCTGTATAAGTTATATAACAATGGTGAGAGGATTTGTTCTTGTTTCATCAATTCGTGATTCGTCACCTGCCCCAAAATTTCTTGTTTTGTCACCTGTACCTTTTTGACCTTTTCACAGGTAATAATTTATTCCGCATTCGTCAACTGGGACTACTAGGGCCATAAAAGTCCGTAAACCTAAATTCTTTTCAATGCTTATTTACAATAATATTATATTAATCAATAATCTACACTAATATTATAAAGAGGAAAGATTTGATTTTTTGTTTGAAGAAGGCAAACTTTCCCAATTTCTAGACTTTATTTGGAATCGAATTGTTTAAACCTTATTTAATTATTTTTAAAATAAAAATAAAAAAATGCATAATAGAAGCCTCTTAATCACTAGCGCAGGTGCAAAGATGAGGTGATGAAACAAGAACGCCTTAAGCAGGTATATTTTGCAGTTGACGAAACAAGAATAAAATGGATCATAACAGGTAAAATTTCCCTAGGTGATGAAACACGAATTGACGAAACAAGAAACTACTGGTGAGAGCGGAAAACCCTGTAGAACTCCCTGCTCTGGAGTTAATTTGTCTGAAAAACTATTGAGTATTTTAACTCTCAGTTTTCTGTCAATTCGAAGATATACACATCAAATGTCATTCAAATATTTTTGATGTCATTGATATCAGTCAATTAAGAGAGAGTTAGTTTCATGAGATTTTTCAAAATTGTCTGCTAGAGTTTTTCGCATATACTTCGAACACTCTATTATTGTTTCACTGTCAATGTTGTATCACAAATAGATTCATCACTTCTTTTAGGCGTGTATGTCCCAATCTCAAAAGTGTAATTGTAACCTCCTGCATTCGATTTATATATGAGTTTCTACATGGTAGTACTGAGTCCTTAATCTCAATTTTGAATTTGGTCTGTTCTATTGTACTTGCCAGATCTTCATTACTTTCTACTTGTATGATAATTTTACGTCACGGAGTACGGCCAGTTGATTTGGTGCAATATTCTGGTTGGAGGTTGTAGTTCATGCTAAGCTATTGATTGTTTTGTTGCTAATTATTTCAATTTGTAAGGGTATCCATGTAGTGTTATGTTTTTGAATTATAGTTGATGTAATTCTATTTTAATCAATTGTAGAATACTATGTCCAGGATATTGTTTTTTTAATCCTGATAATAGTCCTATAATTTTTATTTGTTTCTGAATTTATTAATACTATCGAAGGAGCTGCTAATTACTATATATAAGATTATACTTTGTGAATGTAGATTAGGATTACCTATTTCAAATAAAGATTATTATATCTAGACTATGTGATCTTTTTTAATGTTTTTTCAATGTACTCAAATAGCTCAGGCTAAATAAAGTCATTCAATTCAATTTTCCTTTTCTTAGTGCCTTAAATGCACTGAAGAAATTTTAATTGTTTGATTCAATTCAAAATTCCAATCTCATATATTTGAAATTTCTGCAAACTGATTGCTTGAAACTTTAAATCTACATTTTCATATCCCTCGAAATCGTTCCCCTGGAACATTTTGTATGAACGTCCTTGTCCAAGAATTATTACCATCGAAACAGTTTTTACTTCATTTTGATTGAATGAAAAATTCATATTTTGAAAGGTATTGCAAGTAGTACTAAAACCCTCATTGTTTTATCAAATTATTACTATATGAGGAATAAGTGATTCTCTTTTTCAAGAACATTGGAGTATCTTATGAGACACTTGGCTCGTGTGGCAAAGCACGGAACGAACACAGGGATGACGACAAGAAATGTTGCTATAGTATGGGCTCCAAATTTGCTAAGGTGTGAAGCTCTTGAAGTAGGAGGTGTAGCTGCGCTACAAGGTGTGGGCGTTCAGGTGAGTTCAAAAATTAAAGTATCATCTGACGAGCCTCCAGATCAAGATCATTGAAAAACTCTTCCAACACTCTTATTAATAAATTAATGTAAAGGGGTCCGTTCAAAGAACCATGTTAGAAAAATGGATTGATAATTCTGCCTCTAAACATTAATACTCAATCTTCTTTGCGGATTATGGGAATGGACTAGAAATGGATTATGTCTACTCCAATAATGAAAATTTCTTCTATTATACATCCCACAATTTGAGAAATTAGCCTCATCGCCCCATATAATATTTCTATAGAAGTTTGGATCTTGTCTGCATTTATTCATAAACCACCGGCAAAACCCCAATCGTCTCTCAGGGTTGCCAGGTGTCGACGATGAAGCACAGCAAAAAAACGCATATCAGTTAATTCACGATCAGTGAACAAACTGCTGTAATGTTGGAGTGCTCTTACGCTATTTTTCTGGCAAACCTAGTAGGATTTTAACATATCACATTTTTCTTGATGGGAAAAGGCATTTTGAAAAATATTTTAACAGTAGTTGACAGTTAAAATAATTTATGACATTGTCATGATATACTTGAGAATATTTAACAAATACTATTTCAACAAAGTTTCAAGGCAACTTGATTACTAATAATGATTCTGTTTTATCGAATCAAACACATTTTTTCCCAACCGCATTAAGCATTAATATGACGCTCCAATAGTTTATGTTCTGTATAAAAATGACTTCAATGTTATCATTATAGCACATATTTTGATTCACATAATAAATACGGCTAGTGGAATGGCTTCAAGATGAAAATTATCATTTTGCAAATCAATACCAAATAACTCAGTGGTGTCAAGTGAGTGGTACAACATGATGATCACGGATTTCACAAGTTCAAATCCCAGCGCTATTTTTTCTTTTTGCAGTTAGTAACAAAATATTTTCATTTGTTAAGGTACCAAAATTGAGTGTTTGTTCATTTGCCAAAACAAAGAATTTTTTGTACTAGTGAAATAAATAAATATTTCCATATAAGTCGCTCATTGTCAACTTTAGGAGGAAAGGTGTGAGCTTTGTTGTCGAGAATGTTTTTGCGAATCGAAATACATGATAAAATATAGGGTGTTCCATTTACAAAAATATCATTTTATGAAGTATTTTGAAAACGCAACTGTTAATTATTTTTTTTGTTTTCGGCATCAAAAAGGCCATCAAAAATGCTACTAGTTTGTCCATTTAACCGAATTCATAGTATCAATAATAACGGAGTTGGCAATGGTGCCGAGTTAATTTGGAACACCCTGTATTTCCTTTTTTCTACAATGATCTGAAATAACTTTTTACTTTTCTAGTTGAATTAGATGAATCTAGTGTTAACAAGGTTACGTTTATTTTCTATAAAAATTCAAAAGAATGCTATAAATCTCATTTGTTACAAATAAATACATTTTCACTTCAAGGACAGTTCAGTCCAGAAATGCATTTGTAGTTGAGTCTAGCAATACATTTCTGGTTCAGCCTAGCACCACTGGTGAGACCTATGGCGGGTCGAAACAGCGGTGTCTGGTGTTGGATTATAAACGTGGATTTCAGGATGGATTTCTTCGGCGGTCGATGCCAAAGCTTGACTTTGCAACTGCTTGCCTTGGGTAGACTTGTTTATCTTTGATATTCGAGGATTGAGTTGTCTGTTTATCATCGGTTGTCTTCCTGTTTTATTCAAAATACCTGACAACACTATATAACTTGATTGTGTGATAGTTCTGTTTCTAATAACATTTCCAGCAACATTTCAAACTTTACGAATGTGATAATTAATAACATAATTATTTGAAACAGAGATAAAAAAATTTATTATCTTTTCTTTTGAATCGTCCTGTTCAAATCAATTGCCAGAAAAATGTAGCAAACAAATGTCATCCCAAAGTTAAAACTGATTGAAGAATGTGTTCTTGATGGATTATTGACTGTTTTGTTGAAAATCATTTATATAAATAAGCTTAATTATAACATAAAACCTTTTCAGGCAGTAGTCACGGAATTTTTGATTTGCTATGCTGATCTCATCTTTTGTGATCATCTACCAAGTTTAGACCATCCTTTAGTTATATCTGAAAACATGCTGATGAAAAAATGCCGACCAAACAGTCTAGCCATCTCGACACCTACGAAGTTGATAACCCTGGAAGAGGCTAGGAGCAAACATTTGCCAAATAAGACAGAAGAATGCAATTATATAGAAGTTGGTGGAGGACCGAAGAATCTACCTAAGAAATATCATACCATCTTGGAATTGCCCTCAGGTAAGTGATTCAGTTTATTTTTTAAAAAAGCTTGAAATCTGAAAGTAGACAAACGATTATAATTTTAAAAAAATTACAGAAAATTGAAAATTCATATCTGAAATAACTGATTATAAATATTTAAAAAGGAAGAACAATGAGAAAAGTTTTCAGGAGAACACTGATTGACTTATATAATCAGTATCTTTTTTCACAAATTCGTTTAGGATACATCTCTCAGCTATAGAACATCAGGGCCTAGACATATTTTCCTTCTTTGTCTAATCCATGGAAAAGGATTGATACAAGGCAAAACCTATTTTTATAAGATTGTTCTGTCTACCTCTTTTTGGTTCAGTGTGTTTCCCTGTGTGTTTCGGTATTGGCAAACATGTACAAATTGATCATATACCTACATTTTTTTGGTGCCATTTTAGTATGCTAAGCAATCGTACAATTGTAATGATTGTTTTTTTTTCAATCGGTAATTATATAAAACAATTATCAGAAAGAACCCGGTACACCATATATAACACGCCCTGCAGCGGGAGGTACCAGAATATCTCTTCTGCATGAGGTGTCACCGTTGGAGGTGAAAGTTCTCCTGAATGATGCTTCATATTAAGATGCCCATGCTGAATGTATGTATAACTCTCAAGTCTTCTCACTATTACTAACGGAACCTTTGAGATACTGGGCGCACTCTCGTCATAGAAAACCTTGTCATAGTAATGTGAAGCTCTGCCATAATGGACCTTCTTTCCTTTGCTACCTGTGGACCCTTTATAGACCACGAAGTAACCAAAAACAACTGGGTCTACAAAGGTCTCTCTGATATAAAGGATCAATAGAAAACATTTCTTAGGTCTCCAGCTTTTGAGCCCAGTGTATCGAGGAGATAAAAGTTGATCAGACGACTCCAGCCATCCTCTCTATAACATCTGGTCAAGAACAGGAGCTTATCAGTTCTCCAACTCTTGAACAAAGCTAGGTGGCTCTAGGGGGTGCAGCCAGTAAGTGACTCATCACCTTCTCATGAGCAGATTATCTGAATCTGCCTTGCACCAAATTCTTGAGCAGCAAAAGCAGATTCTGCATCAGGAGCAGCGGAGACAATCTTCCCTTCAGCATCTTGAATAGGTTTATGCTCTAACGATGACTTACTTAAACCAAAAATATATATTTATTCAACTTCATTAATGTTGTCACCTTCAATATAGTCCCCATTAAATATTGAGCACTTGTACCAGTGCTTCTTTCATATCTCGAAACACTTCTTAAACTCGACCTTTGGGGGCTAGTCTTTTAGCTTTTTCAAGATCCATTCATTTAGTGTACTTCATCTCCTGAACACAACAACTTGCTTGGTGAAAGGCGGGTCGAGAAGAGTGTTGCAATTTTGGTGTTTGGGAACAGTACTTGTTTTGGATTCATTTTAAGCCAGTTCTACCTTTGTTTTAACAAATAAAAATTGCCGAGCTCTAAAAAACACGTCTAAGCTTAGCAGATGCCACAAAGTGAATAATGAATAAAACTGAAAATGATAATCATAAAAATTTGACAATCGGACTCTACAAACCCTTGAAATTGAAGATTTTTCGTTATTTTTTTAAAATACTTCGAATAGATACCCTCATGCCCGCAAAGTCCAGTCTTAATAGCTACAAACTACCCAAAAAGATCAGGTGAGCATCTCCTGGGTGGATGCATTTAGTACCCTGCAGCTATGGGAGAGTATCTCTCTAAAATGAGTCCCTAGCAACACATTTGTATTGCTTATCTTCTTGTCGAATGAAGTCACAGACCGACCGCCGATCAGATCCTCACAAGATCGAGGAAAATATACATCTGACAACCTTATAGGGGATCATTCTTCACTAGGAAATTCCGGACCGGATCAGATTTTCAGCGTTTGCCAGAGTCCCACTCCTGCCAACTGACCTGAAAAATCACTCACCAAATAAAGTAATCGACTTTCTTGAAAAACTGGATTTTTTTGTCAAGTTTGGATCGGTGTGAACCACAATAAACCCTCGCGGGTTGAATAAACCCACGCACTTTCAAAAATTTACGTTATACTGAGGTATTCATATGGAATCCAATGTGGACACCTAAATAATAGGTATGTTCCCAGTTGACTAATATGTATGTGTATTGTAATTTAAATCAAATGTTTGTACTGAACTTCTTAACGGTCTTGATATTGTTGATGATCTCGATATAATTTTTTCAACCTTATGATTATCGTCTAATTCTCAAACTCCATCATGTAATGTAATTTGTTTTAATGAGTAAGTTGATTTGTTTTAATGAGTATGTCTTCGTATTTTTTATTTCTCAATTCATGACCACCATTAATTGTGGAATCTTAAGATGTATATAGCCTGATTTTAATTGCGCCATTTGTTTTGCCATGTCTATAAACCTTGTGTTTCTCAAGACGAATAAAGATATTATTATTATTATTGGTTAGCGTAGATATTTTCTGTGACAGATATAAAGTATCTTTTTTTAGTTGTTTCTCTATCTGAAACAGTATTAAGAAAATCTGGAATTCAAATTCACTTTAACATTTCTCAAACAGGAATTGAAACACATTCAAAAGCTCTCTGTAATTTGATATCGAAAATTTTTTCTTTACTATCATTGGAATCTTAATTGAGTATTAATTTTAACAAGTAACACTAACTGGTCTATATTCGGATACAAATGGAAACTAATAATAGAAAAAAAGAATGTCACTAGAATTCCCAGTACTCTGGAAGATTCTAATGTTGGTGAAACACTCGCACGATTTCAACACCAAAGGATTCTTCACATAATTTTGATTTTCAGCGGTTGCACGAAAAAGAGCTCATACAAAGAGGTCTCCTTTAGGATGGGGATTATTCTTCTCGAAATCCAGAAACTCTACCCAGACTAACTTGCCGAAGAACAGAAAAGCTTCCACCCCCATTACCATAAATGTATGTTAATTAAATTCTAACATTAATTTACTACAAATAGTTATTTTCTTTCATTTGTAGGAAAAATCCATTACCGAATCTGATTTAACTGACATGAAACGTAAACTCCGAACTGTAAAGTCTGCTGACAGCCTAACGTCGGGCCACTCAGAGCCAGCAAGTACAGAAGACATTTTAGGTCCTTTGCACTCACTCATGAAACCCCCAGGTCACAATAGGTCCGTATCGCATGATTCTTACTTTGACATGTTACAAAATTCGCAGAACAACTCTGAAGGTTCTCTTTTGGATTTGAGTGAAATACAACTGAACTTCGAATTAGAAGAATCTGAAATGAGAATATTCTCTGAGGATGAGAGCTTGGTCAGTTCTCCAAGGATACACAAAGAGGTACTAGTTCATTGTTTATTAGTTTTTTTTATGCATATAAAAATTTCTGGTGTTTTTAGACTCAAAAACGAATACTCACACGAGCAAGACCTGAGGAATATAACAGTGCTGCAAACTCTAGTAATCCCTCTCCGAAAAAGCAGCCTCGCGTCATTATGTCACCTGAATCTCAGTCACGGAAACGAACCAGACTTGAAGATCAACTTTCTGATATTCAATACATTGACTGCAATACTCCTGATAATGTAGTGTCAACTACGGCTGTGATTCATTCTTTTCCCGAAAGCCCAATTGTACAAAAAAGTAAACAGTTGTTCGAATCATATCAGCCCAAAAATAAATCTCCAAGGAATTCTGATAACATGGACAAACGACAATCACTGAACTTGGAAGCGACTCCCAAACCAATTATTCCAAAATCTCTCACTGAGATCGACATGGACCAGAAATGTTTAAGGCCTACCAGTCTTGTCACAACATCTACTCCGTGTTCACCAGATTATAAACAGTTAGGCGAAAGTAGTGCCAACACTACCCCAGGAGCTTCCTCTACGTATGACAGTTCTCCCACTGAAGGTACTCACCAGCACCTTATACAAAATGAGGCTGAATCTTCTCACAAAACTACTTCTCCAAATACTCCAAACTATGAAAATATCCTAACGACAATAAATATCATTTACAAGTCTCCACCACGAAGTCTAGCCACATCACCTGTCAAAAGTCCAACGACAAATATCTATGAAAACGTCATTTTAAACCCGGAAAAGGTCACAATACCAACTTCTACTGCTTCGCTACCAATCCAAGAAGCTAGTCAACCGAATTTAACTGCAAACACGAACTTTCCTGAAGCGCAGTCTGGCGAACGTCCTAAAAGCCTGAGCGCATTAGAAGATATCACATCCAACAAAGATTCGACAATAAAAGCTAATCTCAGTTCCAGTGCAATTTGCAATACTAGCGAGCAGTTGTCACTCGGCAGCTTTAGCGATCAAAAAACCTTTAGTTCTAATCAGTCATCTAGCTCTAATATCCAATATACAGCAAGTATCAGCTCTGCGCCTTATCATTTCATTGAAAATTCGGAACAGTTGACCCCTACTGACCTGAGCCTCAGTGAAGTTGTAGAAAGCTCGACTGAAAACCTATCTACTAGTCATACATCGCTCAGTTCTCCGATAAGCCCTTCAAAAAACAGTCTCAGTCCCAATGTGAGTCCGACACAGATCTACGATTGTTCCTCACAGGAACTTATAACTCCTATCAGCCCAACAGATACACAAGTTACCAGCGACGGTTTGAGTACTGAGAATCTTGGCAAACAACATATCAAAGCAGAATGTTGGCCATGTGAACAACCAGTCAATGAAAATCATGCAGATTTGAGTCCTATAGAAAGTATACCTGAATCAGTGTCAAGTCCCAGTAGATCTATTAATAGTGACAAAAGAAAATCTGACGAAACTGAGTGTTTGGATGACTCTGCCATCTACCAGCAAGTGAAATATTTCAGAAGATCGATTCATGAGGTCAACGCTCTACTAGACCTCGAAAACGGTTTAGCAACGTCCGAGGAGGATAATGACTGTACTGAGAATGTTTATGAAGATATCCTGGTTAAGAATGGTGTAGTCAGAGTAAGAGATGATTCTGAAGTTACTTCAATCCCAAAACAAGAAATTGGTGAGGGAAGTAATATTCAAACTGAAAGAGAGGTGATTGAAGAAAATTATGATTCTTTAGAACCACAGATTTCTCATGTCTATGAGAACATTGATGGTGAAAATTTGCGTAACGGAATGATATATGAAAATGTACAAATTGACGAGGAAAAGACTGATAGTCCTATCCAAAACAGTGGAGCTTCATGCAAAATTGAAGTGGAAAGTAGTCCACAAACCATATGTGAAATACAATGTAATAAAGAAGAATCGGTAGCTATCGAAAAACATGAACATGTTGTGTCTAGTGAGAAACCAGTATTACCTATAGATGTAGAGAAAATAGACTCGAGTGAAAATGAGAATAGTACAAATAAAAGAAGTAGTTCTAAGTTGAAGAAATTTTATGAAAAAGACAGTTTGCCGCCTTGCTTAAGAGCTAGGAATCTCAAGCATCAATTGAAAACCCGATCCCTGGATGAAGAAGAATTTCAAAAAGAATTAGGTAGTAATGTAGGTCGGCACAGAATATCTTATGACGAAACCTTGGGCCACAAAACGAATTCTCTGCCAAAGACTCTGAATCAACCGAAATCTTTACCAGACGATGATGGAAGAGTGAACTCCATCCATCTCGCCCACAGTACAGAAAATATTCGAAATAACTTGACTGAGGAAGAGGAACAGAAAAAAAGAGAACGAATAGACAGATATAAAGAAGAGAGGCGACGAATATTACAGGATAAATACAGGTAAGACCTATTCTATTAATATTTCATCGCCTATAAAAGATAGATATCAAAAAATGGATTTCAGAGAAAAAACAGTTTTGACAAAAAAAGTAATATTCACCTTCGTAGTAAATGATATCTCAATAAATAATAAAACAGAAATTGTGAATCAATTTGCTTCTCATTTTGCGAGGAAAGCTTCTGAAAATCCGGCAAAATACATGGGTCGGGATATATCGCTACCTCATACCGGTTCTGAATTTTATGAAAACTCAATGTTCTTAAAAAACTTTCAGAACCTAAACTACCATTAGCGATCAACTAGCTAAAGAATAAAAAATCAATGTAGACCAATCCAACAGATCATTATAATTGTTGTTTATTATCGCTTACCAACAATAAAAATTACATTTAAAAAAAAATTTGGAGAAATCAACTCTCACTATTATATTTTGTTTCATTGGAGAAATGAACCCTTACTTATTGAAGATTTTTGTCATTAATTATTTCGACTATATGAAGGAAAAAATTGTTGTTAAGTATTGTTTTGTTTTAAATTTTTTTTCGTTCTATTGAAATCCATAATATAAACATAATATAAATAAAGGAATAGTTCGAATTATATAACAGTGAAGTTCAATAAATATGTCATTTCATCAATATTTACAATTCTAGTGTAGCTTATTAATCGGTCAGGTCTTGAGGGGGTATGATAATACAGGTCAACTCCTAGAAATGTACCTAGATATAAATCTGTCTTGGGAGCCTCAAATCGATCATGTGTGTAAAAAATTATGAGTAAAATTTGCACTGCATCAGTATTTAGTATAAATGATGTCATAGCTGGGTATTATTCTTTGGCCCACTCGCCTAATGGTTCAAAATATAATCAAGTGAGGCTCCTCTGCAGGACCAGAACGTGTTTTTATTCTTCAAAAAAGATTGATCAGAAGTATATTTAATATTACGCTCAGAAATAGTTGTAGAACTGCTTTCTCCAAAAATTAAATATTAATTTTGCCCTGTATCTAGATATTATATAAAGTCTTGCTCTTTGTGAAATATAATATGACCAATCTCAGACAAGATCTCATCAAGAATCAAACTTTTTTTACCATTCCCAAACATAAAACTTCTTTCAGAATCTGTTGCATATAATAGCATTCAACTATTCAATACATTGCTAAGACATCAAAGACTTGCACTTCAAAATGCTAATAAAGAATCTACTAACGAGTAAGGGATTTAGATTTTAAAAAGCTATTTACTCTTCTACCGTTGATCATACATTTACCGGACTGTAAGCAACCAAACAAATCTTGGGATTAAGGGATTTCAGTTTAATAATAATAATAATATCGTCTTTATTATCTTCTAATACATTTAAAGCAAATCGATCAGGAACAGTTCATTTATTATATGAAGATAAAAGGCGAAGTTCAATTTACATGATGACAAGTCATCATTCAATTGTTCTTCCACGTAACCTCCTTGAAATCAAAAGAAAATTTTTAAATAAATCAAATATTAAAGACAAAAGCATAAATGTTATTGTGCTTGAATAAAATTCAGATAGGTTTACCTGTCAGTAACATTTCTCACTACATAAAAATAAAATACATGCATGCAAATGTACTTCTCTTTGAATGACGTTTCGGAAACTTCCACTGTTCCGTTTCTCGAGTCCCGATAAAAAATGGAATTTAATTTCGAATGATTTTGAATTGACATTTACATATTTTTGTGTGCGATTTTGATCAGTTTATTAGGATTTTTTGATTATGGGTAAAATAATAATACTCAGATGTACTATCCACGATAATAACACAATTTTCACAGTAATAAATTTACTAGAGACGCATTTTGCTTCACAGTAGATTCTTTAGTCGAACAGGTGATGTCAAACCAGTTTACATAAGTACACTTATGTACATGTGAATACAAAATTATTACTTTACAGAACTGAATCTTTTAAAGAAGATAAGGAGGTGCTTCTCACACGTTTGAGGATATTCAAGCAAAAAGAGGAAACTGCTGAACTGCCAAAACCGGTTGAGTTAGAACGACCACCACGCTGTCGAAGAAGAAGTTCACGTAGTGAAGATGGTGAAAATCAAGAGTCTTCTTCCAAAGTAGAAGAACCTACGAATACAAAAGCAATAATAAGTTCTGCTGCAATCAAAGATGACCCTATTGCGACAGAAATTTTCAAAAAGGACATCAAACCAATGAAGGAAAGTTTGAAGTCTCGGGCAGCAATTTTTGAACAAAATAGTCAGAAACCTCAACCGCCGACTACTCTCATTATAAACAAAAATAGATCTTCATTTAGAGATATGACAAAACAGACTGATTCGAATGCCAAAAATTTTCAAGATACTCGTGAGAAAATTCATGGTAGGATAGATAAAAAAGAAAGTCTCGATGACTTGAAAGACTTGGATTTCATAAGAAATAAGAAGGATAGTGAATTTATGAGAGAGGAAAGAAGGAGACACACTTTTGATAGTAGAGAAAGGGAATCGGAGGCAGAAAGGTTGAGGAGGATCAGCTTGGAAAACAGAAGTCCAAGGTACAGATTTTGTATGATACGTAAATATATTACCATTGGTTTTTCATTAGAAAATATTGTAAAAGTAATGCAACTAAACTCCATAAAAATATCTAGTTTTTGTAAATATACCTTTTAGAATAGTATTCTATAATTTTTTGCTAGTGAATTCCTAAGTTCAATAATATATTTTTTTATATAGTATGAGTGACTAGAGATGAAAAATGCTAAAATGTACATTGTGATTGTTACGTTTATTTATCATTTTTGTTACATGCATAAGAATATTTGTTTTAAGAATTGTACATTTTATTTGATCACATTAAGATAATGTTTGCAAGATTTTTGTTGCTAATGGAATTCCTTAAATTAGTGACCATATACTTTCCTAATGAAAATGTTTCTTTTTTATATCGTATAGAAATTCATTTTAAAATTACCTTTCAAAGGATTTCCTTGTCAAAAATGTTCATATGAATATCATTTTTTGAAATGAAAAATACTGTCGGCTGTTTGCTTTCACTTATATGCATTATTGAACAGTAGAAACATTTTATTCCTAAGTATAAGGAAACGATAAGCTTAAGTGTTCATTAAAGAATATATTTATTTCTATAAATTATTTACTTTCCAAAAATGTCCCTATCTGAGAAATTACCTTGTTTTATTGGTTTCGTGTTATATAAAACTTTAAAGGATTATTTTTAAGTCTTATTAAAACCAAAATAGAATGAACTTCCAAAATTTTGTTTGATAAATTACAAATAATGTTATATTCAGTTTCATTTCATTTATTAATTTGATACTTGGGTGCTTTTTCATAATAAAACATAAGAAAAAGCAGTAGATATAATTTACGTGAAATCTATATGAATGTGAATCAAGCCACAACTCAAGAAGCCCTACTACCAAATACTTTCAAAATGTCAGAAGAAAGTGTCATGTAAAAATTGCTCATGACTAGTAACACCATTGCAAAAGTGAATTCTATCACGTAGGTGCTAAAAAAGTGTGTGCCTCGTTTTTTTTAATGGCGATAATGATTTATTTTCTACAAAAACATGTTTCTAGTAAGAAAAAAATAAATGAAAACTACAACTAAGTATGGAAAAAAATTAGAACTGAAGCAAAAAAATAGATAATTGAATATACTTTCAGGGTCTACAAAATGATTATCAACATTATACACATAAATATGCAAATCAGAATATATAATATACGGATTTAAAGCAATACACATTTTTTCAAATTAATCCATTTGATTTATAATTAAGCATTTGATGGCTTATTGTAAAACTTCAAAATAAATCGAATTTTCCCAATATTCGTTTTCATTTTCATTAATTTCAGACTGCCTGAATATCTTGTGGAATGTGTGTTGGTCAACATTGATTTTGAGAGTAAGATTTGAATGTATGAGCTTATTTTTGACCAAATGATTNTGATTTTGAAAGTAAGATTTGAATGTATGAGCTTATTTTTGACCAAATGATTGAAGGTATATAATTTGAAATTATATGAGGATGACAGATGTAATAGTTTTTTTTGGTTTATACAGGTTGGTAAAAAAATAAATCAATCTAAGGTGCGGTACAAAATTTCTTATTTTAATTATGGTAACTATTTTCCTTCTTATTGTTTCAATATGTTGTTTAATGATACATTTTCATTTAGAATAAAAACAAGAAATTTCGCTAAATAATGAGAAGCATTAGATTGTCAAAGCAGGCGTCTACAATGAATATTCGAATTAGTAGCAAAAACTGATATTTTTTTCGCCTTCAATCTTTTGATTTTTTTTATATATTATCATTCCTTAACGAGTTATTAAAAATTTGTTTCTAGCAAGCCTTCCGACCAAACCCTGAATTGCACTTTCAACACTGACCACAACATCTTCCAAAATCAAGTTCTTCTTTATCGAAATACTGACTCGAAACATTTTCAACAATGTTGATAACTTTCTTTGAATTTTTGTTTGTTTCTTTAACGCCAAATTCAAATTTTATGTTCAAACAAGCCATTTTTTTAATGAAGTTTGACAACGAACATGTCTTTGAAAATTATCGCACTATTCTATCTTCTAGAGCTTATGTTATTTTTTGGTGAACTTCATATTCTTTTAATGCAAGCATACTCCGTTTACTATATTTCATCTCCTGAAGACGCATACTCGGTTGGTGAAACGTGCGTCGAAAATAGTATTGAAGTTCTGGTGTTTGGGAAAAGTGCTTGTTTTGGATTTATTCTACGCTAGAGAGGCCAGTTTTCCCTTTTATTACGGATGGCTACCAGGTCAGCAGAACTAAATTTGTATCGTAAGTTTACCACTAAAATTAGGTTAATAGATGCAGATATTTGGTTTTTCAAAACATGCCTTGTTAAATCTGTTTCTCTAACAACCTTCTTCGACAAACAAAAAGTCGAAGAAGGTTGTCAACATTGTTGAAAATCTTTCGAGTAAGTTTCTCTATGGAATAAAAGGCTTAAAATTTTGTTCGAGTCCCCTGAGCGAAGTCTTGGAAGATGTTGTCATCAGTGTTGGAAGTGCATTTCAGTACAAATTTAGAAAGAATCTTCGAACTTTCAAAAAGACAGATTAGTTGATAGTTTTTCTGTATGAACCAAGATATCCTAATGAATTAGATTGTATTTTTTCAAAGTTGAACGTGAAAGTAGGTGCCAAACATTTTGTTCGGTTCAACAAATGTTAGGTAACCCTAAAGAAAATATGTTGGAAAATAAAAAGTCGGGATATATGAAATAAGCTGTGAGGACTGTGACAAAAATATATCGATCAGACCGAGGAAGCCATTAAAATTTGTTCCAAAAAAATACAGTATATTTCCGATTTCGGACACCAGAAAAATTTAGTGTCGCTCACGCCCTGAAAAACGACCATAGAATAAATACAATGACAAAGGTCTTATTCCAAACAGCCCCTACTTACCTTTTTATGAATCACTCTGTTAAAATAGGCGGGAACTTTCACGAGATTAATTTTCCTCAAATTTCAACTCGTAATCATTGATTCTATGTGACCTGACAAAAGCATTTAATTGTGTATCATATACTGTATCTGTAGAGTAGGGAGGGTGAGTGTAAGCCCACGCACTTAGGCCACATGTGACCCATTGTACATCCTCCCGAGGAGTTGTCCTCCTAGGTCGTCGTCCATCCTGTCCTTTCCAGGAAGGTGGACAGGTCGCTGGGAGACATCTCCTTTATATCGGCAGGTGTAGGCCAAGACTCGCCGAACACACACTCTCTTATTGACGATAACTCCGGGCACTCGCACAGGATATGCCTGACAGTCTCATCTTCCTGTTCACACATCCTGCATAGAGGTGTGTCCACTAGCCCCATATTATGTAGGTGTTTCCTTAGCTGACAGTGGCCAGTCAGAAATCCTACTGTAAGGCGTAGATTTTTCCTGGTCATCGCCAGATATTTCTTCGGCGCCAGCTTCCCAGGGTCGCCCAAGGTGATCCTGGCAAGATTACATCCTTTGATTTCATCCCATCTCTTTAAAGATTGAGCATGGGTGTAACATTTGACTAGTTCCGCAATTGTCGATGTCATCAGGCCGTGGGTGCCACTTGGTCCTAAAATTCTTAGTCCAGCCGCTTCCTTGGCTAAAGAGTCGGCAATGCGATTACCTTTACTCCTTTCGTGCCCTTTAACCCACCTCAGGATAATGTTATTATCTACCGAGGCTTTGACTAAATTTAGTACTAGTCCTGAGGTAACACGTTGTCTGTTCTAGGCTAATAGTGTATCATATACTAGTGTATCTATTGTATCATATACTATTTTCATTGAAAAAAATAGTTACTATGCTGTCTGGGGTATAGCTCTCAAGCTCGTCGAGTGTTATCTCACAAATATGTTGAAGGGGACAACATATTTGTGAGCTTAAAACTAATGACACAAGATAGCAAAACATTAACATATAATTGGTTTGCTGCTAATAAGCTGATTCTGAATAAAAATAATGTAGGAGATGACGAGTAACCCTGGATCAGTTGAATGATAACAGTCACAGCTAAGCATTCTTGGAGTCCACACATGTTGTTTATTAATGTTCGTTATGGGATTACAATAAATATTGTATTCGGAGACTTCTTATGTTATCTGACAAAGACAAAACTCAGTATATAATTGTACCTCTCAATCCCAATTCTGAGATGATTGAATAATGTGGTTAATTAAGGACGCTTAAAAGAGCACACTATGGATTATTTCATTCAGTTGTGTCATATGATATTCTGATTTGGGGTCATTCAGGTAACTCCATTAGTGTCTTCAGGTGACAGAAAATGGCCATAATAATAGTCACAAGTTACAAAGAGCAATGTTGTCTTTTTTTATTCCACTTGGCATTGAGCCATTTCCAAAATATATCTATAAAGTTTTACTGAAAATTCATGAAAACGTTAATAAATTTGACGGACATCATGATAATAATTCATATGACATAAACTAACATGTAGGAGAAATTCACTGAACTTACATTTGTATAATCATCTTCACACGTTTCTGAAGTTACTAAGCCTTGTAAAATGTAAATCTACCATTGAAGAGTTTCTCCTCCAACACTGTTTTTATAACATTGAGGAATATATTGACGTGACAGAGTCTTCAACTTGTGAAGATCTCAATAAATCACCATTTTATTGATTTTACATTTATGTTTTTAATTAACCCAAAGTCTTTACTTTCATTATTTTTTAGTAGGCCATTTTACCTTTCTAACTCAGAACAAGGATTTCTGTATTCGTGACTTGCCATAAATGTACTATAGTATGTAAAATGGTCAAATAAAGTACTCTATTCTAAATACTTGTTTAGCCATGGTTTGTATTGTGCAAAAATATGGTTTAAAAGTTGCAATTTTCGGAACTTTGAAGGATTTCAACTCTGGAATTTAGATCACCGATTTTTTCTTCATAGTCTACATGTGAAAATGCATAAGTATACACTTTTTTTTTTAATCGGTGGGTGCAGCCTAATCAAAATGGTATCAAATAAACTGATATTGATCGAATTACCTCTACATTAGAATAATCAACTGGAACAAAAATTTTTTTTTCAAGACTCAGTACAGAAGAGCCTACAATTTAATTTGCCAACGTATTTAAAGAACTCTTAATACATAATTTCCGGCGCGATGAATTGTACATGCGTCTGTTCGGCTAAAATTATCGATGATGTCCCAACTGAAAAAAACAGCACAAAAAACTGTGAAGAACGTCATCGTAATGTAGTGCCACTATATGAATAATTAGAATAAATAGTAAAAGTGCAACTAGTTGACTAAGTATTTGCTAAACTACTGAATCCTCCCTCTTAGAATAATAATTAAGTTTTCCCCTGTATTCTCAATCTTTAGTAACCATATAGCATTAGAGAAATTAATTACTACTTGATCATATTGACATTTTATTAATTTCTAGCAATTTCATGATTTGCCTTATACCAGTCTACACTTTCTTTTATAGCTACAGAGAATGGAGTAAATTCAAAATCTGGTAGAAATTTTCTCAATTTTGCATTACTGGCAGTCTTTTTATATTGTCCATCAGCCTTGGTAGTATCAAATTCAATTTTTCCTTGAAATCCATATGCTTTTCCTATTTCTTCTGCCAGTTCCTTGATAGAAACTTCAGATTTTTCATCAACTGAAAAATAACTTTCCGTCAAATCATTATGAAATAATTGATAATTTACTTGAATAATCTTTTTTTAATATATCAAGAAATACACTTGAGGAACATTTCACAAAGTTTTAAATGCATGTGAGTATTACCACATGACAATGTCTGGCACTTAAAATCCAACTATTTTTATGATCGTCCAGTTTCTCAATTGTTCAGTTTGATAATTTTCATTATTTCCTTTCTAACATTTTCTTCCTAGCATTTTTAATAGTTTATTCCTTCATTTTTCTTCCCAGGGATTTTATATCCCATTTCAAGTCTTTATTGTGAGATTTTCGCTATATATGATAGCTTCTTCAGGTATGTTCATACTAATTAAATGATACCCAATTAGTGCCTTATATGTATTGATTAATTCTAAATCTGCTGAATGTTAATCTGTTTAAAACCAGCGACACAAGGTTCATGGTGAAATTTCTCGAAGAAAGATTAAATTCAAATTTTCCTTATCTTTCAAATAAAATGAGTGTACAAAAGGGTATACCTGATAAAATAATTGGTTCAGTTTCTTGATATTCTCTCAAAACCCATAGAAACAGTTTTGCTAAGTCCAAAGAATAAATGAATTGCCTCAAGGGTTTTCCAGTTCCCATTACTGTGAAGGTTTCTCCTCCTGAAGATATTAAACAACATAAATCCCAAAAACAACTTAGAAGATTAATTTGTTCAACCTGTCTTCATAATATCATGCAACTTTCTTATGAGCCCCGGTATAACATGACTAGATTCTAAATTATAATTATCATGGGGTCCAAAAACATTACAAGGAATAACTGAAGTGAACATACATCCATGTTGCTGATGATATGCCTTATTTTGTATATCAATCAATCTTTTAGCATAACTGTAACCAAAATTTGAGGGATGTGGTGGACCATTATGAACCTTCAAAAAAAATAAATGTTACTTCTCAGCCACAGGAGTAAATCTAAGGAAAGTAGAGAATTTACAAACCATTGTTTCATTGATGGGATAATCCGTTTTATCGGGAAATATACACGTAGAAAGGCATGAAACAACCTTCGCAACACCAGTTTCAAAACTAATGTGCAAAATATTGTCATTCATATGCATATTTTTTCTCTGAAAATTAAAAAAAAAGCTATGAATCAATATAAAAATTTTGCTGATACCGTTAATCAGCTAATACAGATATTTCATTGACCAATTGATATATGTGATGGCTAGTTAATTTGAGTTTAATGTTTGTACTCTCAAAATATAAAATAGGTGAAGAGTATAACTGACTATATACAATCATTCTTTTATTTCATTGAGTGCTCAGTTTTGATATAAAAATATTCAGTCACCAAGATAATTTTTCCAGCTGATGGATAAACACCATATCTGGGATGCTTCATGATCTCTTAGATATATGAAAATTAATCAAAGATCAAATTATTTTCATTTGGCAGACAATATTGCCAATATGATAAAAGGTATCTCTGGCACTATGACAAAATATCAGGATTGTTTTCTTCGCATTTTACAGGAAAGACTGATTGTTGAACAGTGGTAATAGATATTACCAAAGCAAAGAAAATTAGAACTCATTTCAATCATTTTGCATGCTTAGTTCAAAATCTTATCAACCTGTTACAATCAATCCTACAAGAAAATAACTAAAATCTAAAGTAATAGAGAACATTGCATATCAGAAGTAATTCTTACTTTAATATTCTAGTCAAAAAATATTTATATTCATACTAGGTTTATGTACATTTTACAGGTAATAAAGATGTACTTTTGATATATTTTTCTTTGTTTTTTTTCTTCATGTACTTAGCGGTCTCAACTTTTGATATCAGCCGATAATCAATGATAAGGTTGATAATTTGGCCAATATAAATATCGGAATCGGAACAATCCCTAAAAATTACCTAAAGAGTTTTAACTGAAAACTTAAACTCACTAAAAAATCTAGGTTATGAGACATGTTGTGAAATAGGCCTCCGACCATTGCGGCTAAATGAATCACATGGGTTGGGTGATGCTTTTCAAATATCTGCTTGGTTTCATTGTAGTCACTAAAAAGCTCAATAATTAATTATTAAAGGGCACACCTAAAATCAACACTCAACCATAAATCTCCATCCTTGCTACTCAAAAATATCCACTTTTCATCTGGTCTCTTTTCTGCTTCAACGACTTGTTGAATAGCCTTACCGACAAGTCCTGTACCACCAGTAACTAAGATAACTTTGTTTTCTGACATTGCAGGTGAAAATCTAAGTAGACCAATTCCTCAAGAACATACTTTCAAGAGAAACAATAATAAACAAGCTTCTAGCTATATAAAATATAACTCGAATAAATAGCAAATTACCTACTCTTACTGAAGGTATACAAATATTATTGAAAAGTTAGGTATTGAAAAAAAATATTTGTAAGCAATATTACTTTGATAATTTAATTTTAACATATGACCAGAGACATATGACCCACTGAATACATACATGCAGTGTTTGACTTTAATTTGACACGACACCTGTGACGACACATGCCGTGCGTTCCACTAAACGCTCACCACGATCACAGATTAAATATTTAATCTGTGCCACGATCAGAATGCTCCTTTAGTCGTTCCATATAACGACCGCGATCGTTGTGGTCGCGGCATAAAACGTCACTCATGACGTCATTATTTTCGCTCACAGCAAGCTCATAACGAACCCTCCGAAGAGATGAGTCAAGTGGTCAATTTTTGAATTATTTTTGAAATATGACATAATTTCTTATTCCTTTTTTCAATGTCATAAGTTAATCAATGGAATAATTACTTAGATACACATAATGAAGTAAATTCAAAAGTAGCATAAATTCAGAGCATGACATTTTAAAAATCTACAGTGTAGTATGTGATAGAAAACCATGTACCTGAAAAAACTTTTGAATTCTTCATATGAATAATCAATAATACGTGGCCTAAGTTTTCGCTTTTCACTATTATAATTTTGTCAAGTTGCATTTCACTCTTCATCTGAACTAGATCAATTAGTTTCTGGAGCCCTATTGCGATGCATCAACAAATATCCAATTGCCGTAAGAGACAGTTTGATTATTTTTTGGGAAATAAAGGTTTTGCCTTTTAACTTCTCCATCGGATGTCTACAGTGAGGATGACAGTGTTCCGTGTAAGTAAAATTTCACTTCTTTCATTGATTATATTGTGTAGCAATTCTGTGAATAATATCTGATTTGATTCCATTATGAATATTTAGAATACAAATGGATTAGAGAAGTGTTTTTCATAGAAATTCAGCGTTCATATAAAAGTATTTGTTTCGAAAGTATTTGTCTTTCGTGTAATTGAATGTTTATATGAAAGTAGCTGTTTCGAGAAGGCTTTTTCTTTCAATTTGTGTCTGAAAATTACTTCTTTGCATGATCTTCACATCTTTGTATAGAGTTAATTACTGAAATTGATTGCTTCCTTCCCTTCTTTGGAATACTTCCACATTTTTTGTATCTAGATGAAGAAGTAAAAAGCTAAAACCTTTCCTAAAGAAATTAATCTCTCCTGAAAATATACTCTTTCAATTTCAACAAGATTTCTATGGCTAGGATTTAATCAAATAAACGAATGAATGATGAATTGGTTAAGGCTTTCGTTGCCGAGATTTTCAGTGTTACTATCTTCATTCGGGATTGAAGGCCGTCGTAGTTTGGAACTGCATCCTAACGTTTCGCCAGCAAAAGTGACTGGCTTCTTCAGAGGTTTATTCATCTCAATGATTTACCGATGACTGGTAATTTATGATTTATGGTTCGTAGGTTGTATTTATGTTGACTCAGGTAGTCCACTTCTTTTGTTGATGCGTTGCTATTGGCTGAAGTGTTATTACCTGTTAATGACGTAAAATTGCATTGCGCTGTTGCCACTTTAGCATCTTTTAGTATGCAGTTAAGCGTTACCACCTCCTCTTTTCTGTTGTAGTTTACCGTATGTTTATGGATTTCTATGGCTTCCCTTACAAGACGACTGTGGTATCCACGATCGGGGGTTTAGTGCCACATCATCAAACAGTATGGTGTGATCTCCTTCACTAAGCGCGTGTTCCGCTATTGCCGATTTGTCTATTTGACCTAATCCACAGTTTCTCCGATGTTCATTCAGCCTTGTACACATGAATTATATCGCCCGTTCCCATGTGAACCGCTGACCATGCTGAAGCAGAATCTCTTATAATTTTGCTCTCACACTGTTAACATCTATTTTTGTTAATAAAATTAATTTTTAAAAAAGGACTTTGACATCCGAAAGTTATATTTGGCGCAGTCGGTAGGATACTCGAAATTGAACGTATCGAACGTGCAGTTTTCGTTTCAACGATTTATCGGGTATCGACTCTTCAGCTGACTCTTCAGTTTCTTTTCCTAATTCTTCTAGTAGTTCAAATATAATAATGGCTAATCAATTCAACTCAGAATACCTTAGGTGTGTGCCTGAATTCGACGGCAACCCTAATGATTTAAATAGATATCTAGCAGTTTGTGATTCAATAATTAATACTTTTTGTAATGTGGCTGAGCCGACAAGCTTTCAAAATGTTTATTTACTGAACTGTCTCATTTCAAAATTATCAGGCAATGCTAAAGTAGTAGCTAATATACAGAATGTTTCAAATTGGAGAGAACTCAAAGAGATACATTAACCGGAAACTTTGCCGATCAAAAGGATGAAACTTGCCTAAACAGAGACATGGTTATACTTAGGCAATCCCCTAATGAAAAGGCTCAACAGTTCTATGATAGGTGTTTAAATATATTGAACCTATTGTGCAATTATATCGACGTTCACGAAATCACACAAGAATCTAAAAGGTGTAAAAGAGATTTATATTGCAATTTGGCATTGATAACCTTTCTTTGTGGGCTCAAGGAACCCTTGGGTACTACAATACGTTGTATGCAACCCAAATCTCTCAGTGAAGCATTGCAGTTTGTTTCACAGGAAGACAATGTACATTACTTTCAAAATTTCTCAAATAAGGATACATTTAGGCCAAACTTTCAACCTTCTAGAACACCAATTCAGATCAGACAGCCAAATTCTTCTCCTATCAATAATTAGAGTACACCAAATAACTTTTTCAGGCAGCAAAATCAATTTCCTTCACAACCAATACCAATTCAGCCACAAACACCAAGCCAACCCCAAAAATTCTTTACCAACGCGCAAGTTTTTAGACAACCATTTTAAAACAGGAATGTTTTCAGGCCCAATCAAAATCAAAATCAGAACTTCACAAAACCTACACCCATGAGTGTATCCAACAGAAATACACATCAAACAAATAAACCAGTACCAATGAATGTTTCGACAAGAAATGCCCCTAATTATCGATCAGGTCCCTCAAACTCATTTCAAAATCAACCCCAAATAAATTTTATATCAGAGGAATTATTTAATACAGTAGTTAGTGACACTCAAAATGAACCAAATTATAGCGAACAGGAATATTACGCTGAGGAAGATTTTAACGAACATTATGACGAATTTCTATACTGCGAAAATGAAAATCAGGAAAGTAACTTTGACAATTCCGAGGTAAATTTTCAGGAAATGCCAACCACGAACAATCAAACCTAGTTCCACAAATCATTTCTTTCAATAATTCTAGTTCTAGCGAATTATCATATATAACATTTCCGGAATATGACGCAAAATTTCTCATTGATTCAGGCTCCACGAAATCTTTTATAGATCCAAAAATTGCTCAAAAACTGTTTCCAAATCTAATTAAATACGACCCGTTTATTGTTTCCACAGTTTTCCAAAAATCAGCTCATAAATATAGCGCATCTATATCCGCTTCAAAATTATTCAATTTGCCACAACAAAAACATTTAAAATTTTTTCCTTTTCAAATTTCATGACATTTTCAAAGGATTAATTGGTCTTGACAATTTAAAACTTTTACAAGCTAACCTAGATTTTGGTAATGGCTATCTTATCACTCCTTATGCGAAAATAAAACTGAAGTTTCAAAAAACAAAAAGCGATCTCAATTTAATTACGATTGCTTCAAGATCAGAGCAAGTGATACAGGTCAAAACATCAATTCAGAATGGTGAAATAATAATACCTCACCAACGCTGTCATAATTGTGAATTGCCAGAGTGTCTTACTGTCGCAAATAAAGGTAGAGCTCTCACTACAATTTTGAACAACACCACCAAACCAGTAACCCTGAATTTTTCAGAACCAATCGCTGTTGAAAAATTTGATAAGAACGAAATTCAAAAAATCGATTTTCATAATTTTGATAATTCCCCTAAGCAAAATTTAGATTTTTCAAAAATTAGATGTGACCATTTGAATGACGAGGAAAGATCTAAGATACTTTCGCTGTGCAACGAATTCTCTGACATATTTTATTATGCCCGCTATTACAACATCTGATGAAATACCGGTGTATACAAAATGATACCGGTATCCATTCATACACAAGCAAGAAGTCGAAAATCAGATCAAAAAAATGCTCGACCAGAAAATTATTAGGCCAAGCAATTCTCCTTGGTCATCGCCAATTTGGGTGGTACCCAAAAAGGTCGATGCTTCTGGGAAGCAAAAATGGAGGGTTGTTGTTGACTATCGCAAGCTCAATGAGAAAACGATAGATGACAAATACTCTTTACCTAACATCACATATCTTCTGGACAAACTGGGAAAATGCCAGTATTTCATAACACTCGATCTGGCCAGTGGCTTCCATCAAATTGAAATGGAAGAGGACGATATTGAAAAAATAGCTTTTAATACGGAACATGGCCATTATGAGTACCTGAGGATGCCATTTGGTTTGAAAAACGCGCCAGCTACATTTCAGCGCGTAATGGATAATATCCTTCGTGGTATCCAGAACGAAAAGTGCTTGGTATACCTTGACGATATTATTATCTTCTCGACTTCCCTCCAAAAACACCTTGAGAGCCTTAAATCTGTCTTCAACAGACTGAAAAGCTCAAACTTTAAAATTCAGCTGGATAAATCGGAATTCCTACGAAAGGAAGTAGCCTATCTGGGACACGTCGTGACTCCTGAAGGTGACAAACCGAATCCAGATAAAATCACAGCCATCAAAAATTTCCCTGTCCCAAAAACCACTAAACAGATCAAAGGATTCTTGGGTTTGTTAGGTTACTATCGACGCTTTATCAATAATTTCGCTAGACTAACGAAACCATTAACCAAATGCCTGAAGAAAGGCGCAAAAATTGAACATAATGCAGAGTTTTTGGAATGTTTCAATACCTGCAAAAACCTGTTAATCAACGATCCGATTTTGCAGTACCCGACTTTTCTAAACCTTTTAATCTCACCACGGACGCAAGTAAATTCGCCCTAGGAGCTGTCCTTTCTCAAGGCCCTATAGGCCAAGACCTTCCAGTTGCATACGCATCTCGGACCCTGAATGACTCTGAGCAAAATTACTCAGTCATTGAGAAAGAGTTTCTCGCGATCGTATGGGCTACCAAATACTTTCGCCCATATCTCTTTGGACGAAAGTTCAATATAGTCACTGACCACAAACCCCTTCAGTGGTTATTCTCTCTGAAGGACCCCAACTCAAAATTGCTGAGATGGCGGATCAAACTAGAGGAATACGATTATACCATAATCTACAAAAAAGGCAAGTTGAACACCATCGCCGATGCTTTATCCCGTGTCGAAATCCACATTAAGGACACCAAAACCTTTTGGGTGGAATTGGATGACATACTAGACGAATCACAACGTCTAATAAATCATAGTGTCACTTTCAGTGGTCAAGGAAACCCAGTAAGTCGTTGCCTTGAAACCCCGGATTATCAACCCATTCCGATATTTTGATTATTGGAGAACCCAACCTGGACACTGAATATTCTCCCATCATGATTCCTCCTGACGAAGTGTATGTAAATAATACGGACAACGAGTTACCTCCGAAAAGTCACACAGAAAATGACAATCTTTCTTTACAAGTTCAACCTGATACCGAACGTACAGGAGATGAACCCCTATAAAGAGACTCTGGTTGGGCATTGAGTAAAATTCTTTTGGTTGAGGTAGCAATCAATAAATATGAAATGGGCAACGGTGCATTATTCATACGTTTGCCCAAAGAAATTGCAAACAAGCATGCATGTGTGAATCTTGATAACCAAAATGATCCGTGTTTGTTCAGAGCAATCGTAAGTAGTTTGTACTCTCCCAAAGGAAGTATTACACGTGCATCTTCATATCCAAATTATGATTCGGTTTTAAATATTCGAATAGTATCAGTGCTGCAACGACTTGTCATATTTGCGAAAAACCGTTCACCCCCAAAGATGTTATCGTGCGCGATCATGACCATTTCACGAGGGCGTTTCGAGGATGGAATCATCGCCTTGCAATTTATCGTTCAAAAAGCTTTTTATCGTGCCCATTACTTTTCTAATCTTTCTGGTTATGATAGTCATTTTATTATAAGAGATGTAGCCAAACGATGAAGTGTGAGCTTACTTCTCATCAACAAAGAGAAATACATTTCTTTCATCCAGTACGATGGTGAAACATTGAATTCAGATTCATAGATTCTCATCGTTTCATGGGAGCCAGTCTCGACGAGTTGGTTTCCACACTGAGTGTAAATAATTTGAAAATATTGAAAAAGGAATTTGCAGAATTGGACGATGAGAAGTTTGAGCTTCTCACTAAGAAAGGCGTATTTCCATACAATTATGTGGACGGTATGGAAAAACTCCTCAACACTACGAAAAACATTTTTATAATAAACTAAACGATTGTGACATTGATGATGCAAAGTATGCTCATGCTCAACACGTTTGGCATCAATTCGATATCAAAACTTTGGGTGAATACAGCGATTTATACATGCGAACAGATATATTGCTTTTTTTGTCAGACGTTTTTGAAAACTTTCGCGAAATTGACTGAAAAACATATGGGCTGAACCCTGCGTGGCATTATATCAGGCCGAGGTACACGTAGGATTGTATAAATATACGGGTCGTAAATTACAAATTTTAAAAGATGTTGATATGGTTATGTTTGTGGAAAAGGGTATAAGGGGTGGAATTTCGGTTTGTTGTAATAGATATTCGAAAGCAAATCCAGTGTGAATATTGCGAAGCGTACGAGAACAGAACTACAGAACAGAGAACACAAGATGAGCGGTACCATCAACATCTAAAAGACAATGATAAAAAAGATATCTGATGAGCTTGTTGTAGCTATTTATGACCTCCAGGCTGTTCTTCCAGTTTCTAGAGGAGATATATCAGTTTTTTATTACCTAAGCAAAGTTTCTATGTATAACTTTACTGTGAGTGAGGTAGACACCATGAATACAAACAGCTACCTCTGCCATGAAGGTGAGGCCAGTGGAGGAACGAATGAGCTGACGACATGCCTCTCAAAGTTCCTTCGTGAGAAATTGAAACAAAGAACGACGACTGAATTAGAGGTAATTTTTGTACTCTAATGATTGTCCAGATCNATAACGATAGCGTAATAGTATTGCAACAAAATGTAAAAAATAAGGGAGATGGGTTGTTAAGTGATTTTGTAGACCTTCCAGAGAAATGATAGAAAACTTTGACTGCGAATTTTCGAAATAAAAACCAAAATTATTTTCTGTGTTTTATTAAAATATTTTCGTACAATATAATGTATTTTCTTGGAAAATTTGATTATGCTTACAATTGAGGCGAACCACCAGCGCAGGCTTGTTGAGCGAAAAAAGGTAAATATTATTTTTCTCATTTATTACATAAATCATACAGGAGTTTCTGTTTGTAATAAAACGAATATTCACGTAATGCATTAGCCAACATACTATCTAAAGATGAGGCTTGGCAAAAACCTTCGATAATTTCTTCCCAAAGTTGAATCGGTTTCATTTTCACATAACCATGATTGAATAATTTTGAAAACACCTCGATAATAGTCATATCCAGCACAACGATACGATCAGACAGCACCCCCATATGGATGTTCAAGACATCGTTTACATCTTGTTGAAACAGATCCATGTTCGTGGTATCCTTGGAAATGGAAAAATGTTTGGTATCACTTTCGATGTACTGTGTGACATAAATGTAATTCCCGAAACGTGTTGTGATTGCATAATACTCGTCTACTTACTCATCGATTTGTGAGTCAAGGAAATTTTCCTTTACTTTTTGCATGACGTCAATTAGGGTCACCCATTCATAAGTTGTTAAATTGATGAAACGAATGGAGAATTTTTGCTTCAATATGACACATGGACTAAAATTGGTGCAATTGGTGGTCGTTTCGAGCAGCTATTTCGTACTGCCCCAACGCTCTATCGATTGCACTTAGAGTAATCTTCGCAATCACTATCACACATTACTTCAACTTCACTATCGTAACCACTATCGAGAGACATTTTTTTCAAACTGAATATCAATTTGTTTTTGCATCCGCTCTTACAGTTTCAGAACACACGATCAATTTCAAATATTGTGTGTGCGTTGAACACTCAAATATTTTTTCACAAAAGGCCCCTTCCAATACAATGTCAGTGTGCTTGTTTTCCATAAGATTTTATACATAATCGATGTTTTTGATCCAACTGTTATGTTTGTTATCCAAGCCCAACCATTTAATGTAATGTATGGATTGATGAGGGATGTCTTGAATAAAACTGTTCATGAAGTGATGTATGAACATTATGGTCTTTTTTATCAAACCACAAAAAAATTTGTCTTGAAAACAATGTCTAATCAAGCATTTTATTTGCGAAACTCAGTGAAATAATTTTAACTAAGAAGCTTTCAAAGTTTTTGTTCAAAATTATGTACTACAGTGTTGGTGTAATCAAAAAATTTCATTTTTCATTTCAAAACCGAAAATATTTCATTTTCTAAGATGTTTGTACGTATTTGTCTTCAAAACTTTTGGTCAAAATTGTGTGAACAAAAAATTTTATTTTCTCTCAATTCGAAATAAGCAATATCTCGTTTTCCGTAAATGTTTTCAAAATTTTTGCTCAAAATTGCGTGTTTGTATAAACGAAAAATTTTATTTCTCTCGATTCGAAACCAAAATATTTCATTTTCCGTAAAAGGTTGTCAAAATTTTGGTACAATGCTTGGTACAATGAACATGTTGTGGATGTTATTTTGAATAAACTCGACGAATTTCAGGAAGGAGACTCTGGTTGGGCATTGACTAAAATTCTTTTGCTTGAGGTAGCAATCAATAAATATGAAATGGGCAACAGTGCATCATTCATACGTTTGCCCAAAGAAATTGCAAACAAGCATGCATGTGTGTGTCTTGATAACCAAAATGATTCGTGTTTGTTTAAAGCAATCGTAAGTAGTTTGTACTCTCCCAAAGGAAATATTACACGTGCATCTTCATATCCAAATTATGATTCGGTTTTAAATACAAATTGTTTGGAAATTCCCATGCAAATTCGTTGCATCATGAAATTTGAAAAACAAAACGATATTTCTGTAAATGTATATAGTTTAGAAATTAATGTTGTCAAAAAAAGACATTTCACGAAGTGGTAGAATATCCTTTCGTTTTACACGCTGATTTTGAATCAACACTCGAAAATTGCGAGGAAAAGATTTCGGACAAATGTAGAAAATTTCAAAAACATAAAGCGGTTAGTCTAGGTTACTACTTGAAATGTTCTTATGATGACAGTTTGTCCAAATTCAATAGCCATCGAGGTGATGATTGCATACAACGGTTCACCGATGAAATGACCAGCACTGCTAAATTCGTTGAGTCAAAAATAAAGAATATAGTGCAGATGGTAATACATTCGAATAGTATCAGTGCTGCAACGACTTGTCATATTTGCGAAAAACCGTTCACCCCCAAATATGTTATCGTGCGCGATCATGACCATTTCACGAGGGCGTTTCGGGGATTGAATCATCGGCTTGCAATTTATCGTTCAAAAAGCTTTTTATCGTGCCCATTATTTTTCTAATCTTTCTGGTTGTGATAGTCATTTTATTATAAGAGATGTAGCCAAACGATGAAGTGTGAGGTTACTTCTCATCAACAAAGAGAAATACATTTCTTTCATCCAGTACGATGGTGAATCATTAAATTCAGATTCATAGATTCTCATCGTTTCATGGGAGCCAGTCTCGACGAGTTGGTTTCCACACTGAGTGTAAATGATTTGAAGATATTGAAGAAGGAATTTGCAGAATTGGACGATGAGAAGTTTGAGCTACTCACTAAGAAAGGCGTATTTCCATACAATTATGTGGACGGTGTGGAAAAACTCCTCAACACTACGAAAAACAATTAAACGATTGTGACATTGATGATGCAAAGTATGCTCATACTCAACGCGTTTGGCATCAATTCGATATCAAAACTTTGGGTGAATACAGCGATTTATACATGCAAACAGATATATTGCTTTTTTTTGTCAGACGTTTTTGAAAACTTTCGCGAAATTGACTGAAAAACATATGGGCTGAACCCTGCGTGGTATTATATCATGCCGAGGTACACGTAGGATTGTATAAATATACGGGTCGTAAATTACAAATTTTAAAAGATGTTGATATGGTTATGTATGTGGAAAAGGGTATAAGGGGTGGAATTTCGGTTTGTTGTAATAGATATTCGGAAGCAAATAACAAGTATATGCCAACATGCGGTCCAACGAAACCATCCAAATACATAATGTATTTGGATATAAATAAATTATATGGGTGGGCAATACGATACGAATATTGATATATCTCAAATTCCCGATGACAATCCAGAAGGGTATATTTTACAAGTTAATTTGGAGTACCCTGAGGGACTTCACGATTTACCCAAAGATTTTCCATTTAGTCCCGAGCACCTCGCTCCACCAAATCTCAAATTGACAAAATTAATGCCAATTTTCCATAATAGCAGAGTAAACGTTACACTATAGAAATTTGAAACAGGCCCTCGAGCATGGATTGAAATTAACTAAAATTCATGAAGTTTTGAAATTTGAACAATCTGCATGTCTGTGTCTTTATATTGAGTTGAATACTCGCTTGAGGACTGCAGCCAATACGTCTTTCGAAAAAAATCAATTCAAGTTAGCAAACAATGCGATCTTTGGGAAAACGATGGAAAACATCCGGTTGCACTAAATAGTGAAATTATTGTCCTCCTATAATGGCAGATTTGGCGCGAAAAATCTCATTTCCAATCCTCGATTTCATAATGGTACAATTTTCGATTCAAACTTGATGGCTATCTAATTGAAAAAGGCCGAACTTATATTTAATAAACCGATTTAAGTGGACATGGCAATTTTGGATTTATCAAAAACATGTTTGTTTCAATTCCATTACGCATGTTACCCACTATGATCATGAAAGTTTCTGTATACAGATACAGACAGTTTCATTTATGAGCTTTCGTGTGACTATGGGTATGAAGATATTATCGAATACACATTTCAAAATTTGATTATTCAAGATTTAACGAGTACAACATCCCCCTTGCAAATAAAAAAGTACCCGGACTCATGAAAGATGAAGCAAACGGCAGAATCATCATGCATTTAGCAGAACTACGTACAAAAATATACACCTACAAATGCAGGTTGGTAAAGTTGTTAAAAAGGCAGAGGAAGTGAAATATGGTATCGGTAAAAATAAATTGAGCTTTGAAGATTACGTAGATTTCTTGAAGAATTTCAAGCAAAACATCATTTGCTCATAACGTTTTCAGTATAAAGCAGACAAAAATAGCCCTTAGTCCGTAATACGACAAACGTCATCTTATCCCCAAATCATCCGATTCATTACTTTGGGGGAATTATAGTTTGAAATAAGTTTTTTCACTTGCAGATCTCAACATCTTGCACACGTCAACATGATTTAGCATAACTTTGCATCAGAACATTCGAATTCCATTGCATTTTCACCATAACCTCTACAATTGATAAAAACAGTTATTCATAATTCAAATATATCGCACTGCGAGAATACAAGGGGCGCAACTCAAAAACAGCCATTTTTTTAGTTAATCCTATGGTGTCATGCCCTAAAATGAGATGAACACGTAGATACTTGTGGCTCTTTTTTAGTCCCAATAGTTCCCTCTAGAGGGTAAAAGTTCAATATCGTCACTGACCACAAACCCCTTCAGTGGTTATTCTCTCTGAAGGACCCCAACTCAAAATTGCTGAGATGGCGGATCAAACTAGAGGAATACGATTATACCATAATCTACAAAAAAGGCCACCACCAATACCAACGCCGATGCTTTATCCCGTGTCGAAATCCACACTAAGGACACCAAAACCTTTTGGGAGGAATTGGATGACATACTAGACGAATCACAATGTCGAACAAATCAAAGTGTCACTTTCAGCGGTCAAGGAAACCCAGTAAGTCGTTGCCTTGAAATCCCGGATTATCAACCCTCTTCCGATATTTTGATTATTGGAGAACCCAATCTGGACACTGAATATTCTCCCATCATGATTTCCCCTAACGAAATGCATGCAAATAATACGGAAGACAATGAGTTACCTCCGAAAAGTTATACAGAAAATGACAATCTTTCTTTACAAGTTCAACCTGATACCGAACGTACAGGAGATGAACTCCTACCAGAACCCAGAATACACGAAGACAATGAATTACCTTCCACAGGTAATGGAAGAAATAACATTTCTTCACCATTGCAACCTAATATCGAACAAATAGAAGATGCACCCCAAGCAGAACGCGAAAACCTTGAAGATGACACTATTCACTCAAATGCTGAACAGAACCCTGTTGTAACAATTTCAATAACGCAGTGTGCCGTGTACCTAGGGCTCAATCAGTTGATTATAAGCTCAGTTCTCCATTCTCCGGCCAAACCTAAAACTACCATTCTGTTCGAGAAAAAGATGAGAATTCATGTACAAATATCGCAAAATAATACAGAAAACGATATTTTGAATTTTATCAAAGAATATGTCGCCCCAGGTGTGCAGTACAATGTCTATTTTGAAAATCCCGAACTTTATGAACCATTTTCGGCAACAATTCAAAAATATTTCATGTGGCCCTCTATAAAATTCAAAAGGTGTACCAAAAAGCTTCTGGACGCTCCAAAAAAAGAAGACGTTCAAGAAATTATCAAAAACCACCATGAAGGTAAGTCAAACCACTGCGGTGTTGATGAAACATTCGCAAGAACATAAAAGAAACCATTCAAACATATATTGATCAATGCATTATTTGCCAACAAAGCGAATATGAGCGAAACCCCATCAAAATGAAGCTCAACATCACCCCTACAGCAACCAAACCTTCCGAAATTGTACATATGGATACATTTACTATCGAAAGTACAAAATTTCTCATAATCATAGACAGTTTTTCAAAGTACGCACAGGCATACCTAGTACCTAGTCAACTCCTTGACAGGTACGGAAATAGCCGACAATCTCATTCAATTTTTTTCTCATCATGATATCCCCAAACGAATTATCGTTGACAACGGTACCGAATTCAATAACTTCCTCATTTCGGAACTCCTGGCTTTACACAAAGTCGAAGTTCATTTCATATCACCACACCAACCGTAATCCAATGAAATGGATTGAGGATGGTGTCTACTCTACTCAACACTAGATTATTTTTGAAAACCCCTCCAAAAATGAAAATGTTGTATGCAATTCTGGCATACAACCACTCCACACAAATTGACATCATAAGTGGTCACATTACAACCAATGATCCTTTCAATATTGATATTGATCGAAAATTACTAAATGATTACACCAATGATTACAAGGAACGATCAAAACTTCTCTATTCCAAAATAAACTCGGATCTAATAAAGCGAAGGAAAAGATAGTAGAACGAGAAAATAAAAAACGCGATGATCCCATTGTATTCAAAACCAAACAAAAAAAGGATGCAAATAAATTTCAAAAACCAACTCAAATCAAAACGGTCGATCATACAATAAAAACAGTTTCTACAGAAAACCAACAAAAAATTCACATGAACAATTTGAAACATTCCATCAAAAAATACCCATCTCCCATCAAAAATTGATTAATTTTTCAGATTATCTGGAACTCTCGGACTCCAGGAAAATATATCTAAACAAAACCTAAAGAACAATCCAGGACTTATTCCTCTCAAACTTGGAACAGCCAAAGTCGAAACGCACGTATATTCACTTATTCATTATTATGATTCAAATCCAATAATCATGGAGGTAAATAAACTGAAATTCAATTCAAAAAATATAAAGACACTTGTTGGCGGTCACAAAGACTACTCATGGGACACATCTAACTATTTAAAAATATTAGAATTTTCGGAAAAGGGGGTGACTGATAGACTCAACTATATTTCACAACATCCACTAAGAACAAAGCGCGGTCTTATAAATGGCATTTGAGCCATTTTCAAGTCGATCACAGGAAATTTAGATTCCAACGATGGTGAAAAATTTGACCGTCTGATCAAAGAATTACAAGGTAATCAATCTAGTAACGAACATCAAGAAGCAAAACTCACTCTCAATCTCATTAATTGATCAGATCAATAGTACAGTTCAGCAAGTGAAACATAACGAAAGACTTTTGGAATCAAAAATAAATCAAATAGCAAAAATTGTTGAAAATCAAACGTATAAAGAAAACTCTATGTTTATCAAAGACATCTTGAATCAGATAATCAATACATTTAAAATCATAAATTCAATTTTGCAAGATGTTGAAAACTCAATACAATTTTTCAGACTGAACATTCTTCTTCCTAGTATAATTGAAACAATTCAAAAATTGAATAGAATTGTTGAGAAAGACCAACTACCAATGGAAATGAGTTTCGAGAATACTTTGCTTTATGAAAAAATCATTAGCCTTAAAAGCTATATATCAAATTTCAGAATAACCTATATCTTGCATATTCCAATCACCCATCCATCAAATTTCGATTACTATCACATATTTTCTATTCCGATATTAACTTAGGGTCAGTTTAAGGCTGTTATACCTCAAAACAAATATTTGTCAAAACACGAAAAATTGTATGCATTCTTGAACGACCCTTGTTTGGAGACCTCCCATCGAACCTGTATCTGCCCATCCACTAACATCAGAGAGCTGACAGAAGACAATCCATGCGAAATACATCTACTCAATGTCCAGAACATCTCCACTTGTAAGAAGACAGTCATACATTTATCGAAACCAGCCATCAGACAACTAGACAACTCAAACAAATAGGTTGTCCTCCTACCGGCTCAACAAACTACCAAACTCAAGTGCCAGAACGAAATCGAGAACCTACTACCTGGAAGTTATCTATTCGACATTCCAAATGAATGCCACTTATCCTGTGGCAACCAAATCATAACCAACGATCACCAAGTTACCAATAGTGAACCAATCATCTTACCAGACTTGGACGAAGGGAATCCAGAGTCACCCAAATCAATAGGGATCCAACTTGATGACCTGAACCTGGACGAACTTCATTCAATGAAAACAGCAATAATGGAAAACGAACCGATTATATCCTTCAAAGACGTAGCACACAAGTTTTTGGACGATGTTCATCTACTTGATCCTAGTATCAATTTGTTTGTACCTAGTGCACAAGAAGATTGGCTCCAGAAGGTGCAAAACTAATGGACCATCCGAACCAAGTCAAGATATCGAGATGTCTAGGGTTCAACTTCCTCGCTGACCCTCCTACGTTGAATCTTCGGGGGGAGGAATTATATCGCCCGTTCCCATGTAAACCGCTGACCATGTTGAAGCAGAATCTCGCAATTCTGAGAAATTGATGTGCAAGCAATCTTATCTTCATGGGAAGAATATTTTTGTAATTCAGTTATAATTTTGCTCTCACACTGTCAACATCTATTTTTGTTAATAAAATTAATTTTTAAAAAAGAACTTTGACATCCGAAAGTTATATTTCGCGTGACAATGCAAATCATATGGGTTTTTGTAAGAAATGGGACTTGTTGAAACAATGCTTTTTTTCAATGCGATTCAAATGAGAAAATTGGCTATTTTAACGCATCGAAATTTTACAAATTTTCAATGCGTTTTCCGAGACAAAAATGAATGTTTTATCGCAATATATTTATTATAATAAAATACATCTCATATTGAATTGTTCATTATTGAATAATGTAGGCTTCTCTGAGTTCATTGAATATAGCTGTAATTTTGTTGTTGTGAGAAAAAGAACTTCCAGCTTCTTTCGAATCTATAAGCAGCTTCAGTCTATCGCATAACTCGTTCGGATCGTCCCAATATACATAGTCGAAGGGCTTCTCATTATATATCCAACAATGTGTGTCGAGTAGCATGTTGGAACCGACTTCATCATCGCTCGCTAGATTATAGTAACCTTTACCGAGTGTTTGAGTACAAAACATGGGTCTAATTATATCGGACCATTTCCATTTTTGAGTTCCCTTCATGGATCCTCTGGCATTCAGGTGGGCTCGCGTTACCTAAGAAAGGCCTTTATAAAAGGCTTGATCCTCTTTATAGTCAGGTTCATCGAGAAAAATTGAATTACATAGTCCTGAAGTTCCTTTGAAAGAGATTCCTTCAGTTGTTTTATTTCCACGTTTGTCAAAGTCAATGTACTTTCTACCGAGGATCCATTTTGAAGAGGACTCGTCATAAACTGGTCCGTATATTTTATCGATCGAATCGTCTTCAGCCCAATGTTGCATGACATATTTGTGTGATATGGGTGGGTATTGCTCCAGGTACTACATCATACTCTCCTCTGAATAATTTTCCATCGATGGTGGTGGTGATGGCGACTCGTGGAATTCCTCATCACAATCCTTTCCCATTTCAGCAACATCTTCAAGTGGTAAAAATTGTTTCTTCAAATACTCGAGATTGATCGAATGGCTCCTTCATTTCCTCTTTCTCTTCCTTTTTGTTGACACCACCACGTCTCTCAAATGATCTACCGATTTTTTAGATATTTCAGCTATATCCTTCGGTGGTTTCTATATAGGTTGAAAATATTTTGAAACGACTCATCCTCTTCAGACTTTCCCAATTTCAGAGCTAGATACTTTTTCTTATACTTTTTGAAATTTCGTTAATTTTGTTCTTGCGCACAACATTGACAAATAACGTTTCCATCTCTATTCACACACACTTATGTACTTGTCGAAACCTTTTCGATATCGCCCCTTATTCAAATCGCATTCCTTGACAATGATAAAAGTTCCATACTTGTCACGCCAACATTCGGCACACATTCTCTTGAATTCATCGAAAGACATGTCGGGAGAGACGTGTTCATCGAAAACATGTTTCAAATTAATTTCGTCTTGCTTGAAGAATACAAGCAGGTTGCAATTGTCGCGTATCAGTTGTTTGGGAATCTTGGAATAAGTCTGACACAGATATATGGCATCAATGTCCTTATATCGGCACATGGAATAATAGTCGCGAGTTTTCTTCTAACCATCGCAGGCTACATCATCGAATATGAATATGGAATCTGATCGATGATTAGCAGATTCACTTCAATATGTAGCGTGCACATTGACGTCATTCATCATTCCAAATGTTGACCTATTACGAAAAAGGTATCGTCAATATGCTAATCAATAAACTACTTTTCGAATTACACATATCTGGCTACCAGTATTGCGGTCCTGGTACGAAACTACAAAAACGTCTTACACGAGGAGATCCTGGTATTAATCCACTAGACTCGGCTTGTAAAGCACGACTTAGCATATTCGCAAGATACGTCTCTTGAAGCTAGACATCTAAAGACGCAACATTTGGCAAGAAAGCCAGCGCTTTATATTCGTCACAGAAGTGATGAAGTCCAAACGGAAATTAGGAAGGGGTGTGAAATCATTTCGACGCAGCATTTTGTAAAATATAATCAGAAACTGGAAGCCTACGATGAATGACGTGAAGAAATCTGCGGCTCTAAAGACGACAAAAATGACCGTCCATGAAGCTGAAGGACGCAAAAAGATACGTATAGCAAGAGTTATTTTATTCGAAGCAGAATCTGGAGGAATCCTACCACTCATACCTATATTTGCTGGACTCTCAGCTTTGGGTTCGTTGGTAGGAGCGAGCGCCATAGCAAAAACAGTGATAGATGCAGAAAATGCCAAAAACTCGAAGAAGATCAACGTCACAATGAAGCTATGGAACATTTGGGTTCCGGTTTGTACCTGCGCAAAACATCTCGAAGATTTGGTCTCTTTCTGAAAAAACAACATCAACGCAAAGGACGAGGTCTTTACTTAAAAAGCAACAAAAAAGCTCCTGCTGAAGCTACCCCATAGAGCATTATATGATTCGGAAATTCAAAAGTGTGCCCATCAATTGAAAATACCACATTTTCGTGGAGTCTTCATGCGTGATGCGTTGCCAATATGTGGTCCTTGGCTGCGAGAATGTGCTGTATTGAACTTGGATTCTCGACTGAATGAAGGCACTCATTAGGTAGCTTACATTAAAAACGGCAATGCTGTACAATATTTAGATAGTTTCGGTAATCTCAAACCTCAGATGGAATTGGTACGATATTTCGGTAGGGGTATAACGTTTACCTATAACAATGATCGGCATCAAAATTGCGGACATCTGTCCGCAATTGTAATTGCGGACATCTGTGCCTTCAGTTTCTACTTCATAATGCCTGCAAAAATGAATTTCACTAGTTCGAACTTCCATTGTCTACTATATAAAATTATTTGAAATCCCTGAAACAACTAAAAAAATCATCATGGAACATTGTTAATCACCTTCAAACAAAAGCCTGCAAAAATGTTTAGAGGAATGTATAATTTAACCGATGCTGAATTGAAAACTCTATCGATTGACTATTTGATTGAAAATGCTGAACCTTGGGAATTATTGGATGTTTGGCATAGATTACCAAAGGACTTCCAGCATCGATTCGCTTTGCAGATTCGTTAACCATATTTCGTCCATTATCGATAGAGGTGGTGTCAACTGCGTCATTTCTACAGAAAGCAATGTATTATGGTTCTGTTAGCTCACAAAGAGCATGTTATTATTGTAGGAAGAAATGAATCAAAATAATGTTCAATTAATTATTCAAGGTGTGTACATGTGGGAAATGTATCAGTCATGTCTATGATATTAACACTAACGAGTCGTTCTTCGATACTTTCCATCGATTTCAATCCACCCATTCGATGGGATTCCGATTCAGAATAAAGTTTGGCTTTGACCAGTTTCCATTCGTACAACAGTAACCGAACATTGAAGAAGGCACGAAATTCTATTATTACGAAAACGATGACGAAACTAAACAAAAAAGCATCGATATTCCTTCTGGATCTTACGAAATTGGTGACATTGAAGCTTTAATAAGCAAATATATTTCGCCTAAAAAAGGAAAATCCCCGAACAATAATACGCTGAAAAGCGAAATATTTTGTTTGAAACACTCGATTGATTTCCGACCTGCAAATAACTTGGCTCACATACTGGACTTTTCATCTACTCTTCTCAAACCCAACTCTCAAACGATTTACGAATTTGCCGTCGATGTTAATCCTGGTGACGCATTTGACAAAACATCCAATACTCTTATTTATCCATCCATTTCTCATACGAACGAAATAAACGACATTACATTGCGAGTACTCGAACAATATTCTAGGCTCGTTGATTTCAGAAACGAAGAAATAATAGTTCATTGAGAATTGGAGCGAAAGTATGGTGTTAACTCTCTATAAGAAAAACTCATCACCCAGCCCCACGTCAGTCTTCACCCAGACTTTCAAACAGCTCCAACAACTGTCAACGGCGAATAAATTATTTTTGGAATCTCTTGGCTATCATGTTGTCCAATCAAGTGTTAAACATTTTCCGAAAACCACAAAAAGATGAATCCATACAAAAGGTAAAATGGCGGACCTACTACCCGTATGTCAAATCTTTTCGTAACAATGATGTTATTGAAATCAACATCAACCAATTCGATGCCTATGATGCACAAACCACAAGAGGAGACTAAATCATCTGTCGGTAACAAATAAGACAGATGGGTATCCGCGGCTAAGCTAAACAGTGGAGACAGGAGTGGGTTAAACAACTTAGCAAATTTCAAATAGATCTTAATGGGCGCCAGGTAAATTTAATCCTCCAGATACCCTAAGTAACTCACAATATCAATAACTTACTAATTAATATTGGAAATAAAAGATAAAGATCCCCAATATGATTTATTCAGTAAACCTAACTTACATGGATTAACCGACAACGCTTTCAAGACAACAATGCAATATTCACACTACTATGCGATATTCAAATGTCAATACAAGAGCTCGGTGTATATAACCACGAATTCAATCAGCCATAAATTACGGTAGTAACGACGCTCAAAAGAAAACTACAATACGTCGAGTAAAACAACCACGAAAATTGAGTAGGTGAAATCGTAAATACTAGTATTGGAAGGTCAGACAAACTCGTTTGCGTCGCGTGAGCTCAGGCGTAGGCGCATCGGTGTCAACAAGCAATCGTGAAAGGAAGAAAATATCTCAATTTCCGTTTCACAAATGAATCACTATATCAATCAGGTATCAATAAACAAACTCTTTATCAATAAACGATAAGCAAACACTATATCAACAGGTATC